TTTTGAGAATTGGTAGGATTTATTCAGTGGGAATTAACATCACAGCTCAAAAACTAGTAGACCCGAAATTAGGTTTTAAATTTCCAGTTACCCTTGTGACGCAATGTGATTACTCAAATGATGAATAGCGCGACAACTCTTAATTGTTGCGGCGAACCGCCTCTCATCTATCCGTCTGGTTCATCAGTGGTGATAATTAGCATTTAGTAGACGTTTGTTTATGATCACTGTTTACGTTGTATGTCAAGTTGCGCCGCTGTTCTCAATAAATGGAGTTCAGATGTATGCAAGTTTCTATTCGGAGCATATAACAATTAAGCAACAAAACAACAATGACCTAACTACGCACGGTGTCCCAATTTCACTTCATTTTTACCAACGCCATATGACGATGCAGTGAAATGTTTTATATAACTTTACATAAGCTCATGTAGCCAAACCACTATATTAGTGTTTTCATCAGTTAACATTTTATTTCTGCCAATCTCCTTGATCCCATTGTTCAGGAAGAAAAAGCACCTCAAGACAAATGTATTATAATTAAAACGACGGAAAAAGATCATTGACAATTAAAATAATTGCACGTCATCTAATATAGCACTTTTTACATTTCAAAAATTTGTAAAATAAAATCACTGGTACAATATCATGTTCTATAAAATCAGATCGAAAATGATTTATCTAATTAGTAATTAAGCAAGCAGTGGAATTTGGAGTTTCTCTACTATTACCAACATGTTTCTATTTCAAAAAACAAACAAAGATAAAAAATTGAAGAAATCACAGCAGAAGTAAGCAGAACAATTGCAAGGATAAACATATTGCAATGTGATAAAATAGCAAAAACATTAGCAAAATAAATAGATACATTCAAACGAAATGTTGTGATATTCAAGCATTTATAGCATTGCATAATATTGGTATTTATAGCACTGTACACATCGTCCTATTGAAAGTCTGAAAGAAGCCCATTATAGGTCGCCTTGAGAATTTAAAAAATATCAGAGTGACTAAATTATCGCCTATCTCTAGTCGAAATAATCAACATGCTGTCCAGATTCATATTCACCTTTTGCAAGAACTTCCATGAGTTTAATATTAGATTGCTCGCAAGTCAGAGTTTTACCTTCATCTTTTAACTTAATGAAAAGTTCCGCCGTGTTGTGTTTGTTCGAAGTCTTCATTATAGTTTCAGACATCTCCGTATCCAAAGGTCCCGGCGCCCAATTTAAAACTCTGATTGCCGGATTTTCTTTCGCAAGAACCTAAATTATGTAGATTAATTTATAAGACTTATGGGAACAGATGCTGTTTGACAATGTACTTGAGATACGCAAGAAGCACAATAAACAGTTTCGATTTAGCCTACCCCACCATTATGAATGGATCATATTTAAAATACCTATTTTACAATTCAAATTTAACTGATTGTTGTTCACGTAGATCAGGGTTCGGAAAACTACGGCCCGCGGGCCGGATCAGGCCCGCGGAGCAATATAATCCGACCCGCGACGCTTCACTGAAATATATTAACAAAACAGCTGTATTGGCGATTATATTCTTTACGTGACAGAATTTGTTTTGTGACACTAAATTATATTATAACCTAACAAGTATGTAATTCACAATCACTCGTTTAATGAGCCTATGATTGGTTATAATTAGACAAATGGCAACAGAACGTAAAAAGTTGATGCTGAGTGCAAATGGTTTGATTACGCAGAAAATATTGAAATGATCAGTCTTCGCACAGTGCTTGAAATTTAATTGAAATCTGTGTGAAAAAATGTAATTCATTGGCCATTTCTTCGGTTTTTAACTTTCTAAAAATATATGCGGCCCGCCAATGACTCGCAAGTTTGCAACCTTTAATTTTGGCCCGCGAACGGTAAAAGTTTGCCGACCCCTGACGTAGATTGTATCGTTCAATAGAATATATTTCCACGTGGTCTATCCGTAAAGCCTATTGCAGTCTGTTCTAAGAACTGTAATCTAAAACCTGTGATGTTAACAGGAAGTTCATAGTATATTCGAGTTATATATTACCTTGAAAAGCATATCCCTTGCAGCTTTTCCCGAAGCGTACAAACTGAAACAGGGATGAGGTTGAATAGCAAATAGTGAAGAGACATTGATAATTATAGTTTTCAGATTGTTTTCTTCAACATTTCTCCATTTTAGAAAGTTTCCAGTGATGCAGGGTAAATGTGCAAGATTGACCGTGAAATATTTAGATACTTCTTCTGGATCTTCGAAATCGCAAACTTCTTTGCTTAAATCTCCTAAGCTCCCAGCGTTGTGAATAAGTAGGGCGGTTGGGAAATCTATGCTTCTTCTTCCATCCAAGCATTCTTTGCCCAGTCGTCGGACATCCTATAAAACGCCAATGAGAATAATGTGGTTATTTTGCACAAAATTATAAACTGTGATACCTAATCTGTCATTTTGTCCAACCACAGTTTATGCCAGAGACACCGTGAACATTTGCATAGCCTTACAATTCGCTAAATTATTTACAGGTAATCAAGTACCTTGAAGCGATATTCAGGTTTGGTTTAAAACAACAAGAGCGGGTTGATCCGGTTAAATATTGTTTTCCTGTAGATACATGGTTTGCTACATCTCTGGTTTCCAATTGATTGAATAATTTTCAAAACATCTACAAACGTTTACCATAAAATCAGACAGATTAGCCGAGATGCATTGTATCTCTATATCATTTTCCTTCCCATTCTGCTTCCTCTTTTGTAGAGCTCTTCGTGCTGTATCTTTCAAACCATCCAAATTTCGACCAGTGATAACTATAACGGACTTCGAAGTTATTCTTGTAGCAAACGCCTCAGTTATGGAGCGACCGAGTCCTTGACTGCCTCCGGTAATTACAGCAAACGTGGGCTCAGAAAATATACTCATACTAAACATAGGTCTTTACCTTTACAGCCTACACGCATATAATAACAACGTAATTTAATCACTACTGTATGTTTCTTATTAACCTAGTTGTGACAGAAGCGAATAAATTGATTCTTAGATATATTAATACTTAATCCGATTATTATAAAGAGATTATAAGCTTTCATATCCGCACCCTACCAGGGACCATAATATATATAAACGAAATCATAGCGTATTGGCTCGATCACGAGACTTCTCATTAATACGTCGATCGGTTCTAATGAACGCACGCCCACTGATCACACATTTCATGTCGCGACACACGAAGTCAATAAATGCCCGATGAAGCGTGACAAGCTTGCTTCTCTCATTGTTTCAGGTTCGTTTTTACTTTCCACCGTGAACACCGCATGACGAGTACTCATATTTGGGTATGCCGGATATATTATTGATTCGAGATCCGGTTCTATTGTTTCGTGTTCAATTTCGACAAATATTCAGCCCTGAAAAGCATACACATTTCATTCGATTATGGGAAACAAAAAACAAGTACGCACAGCAGCAAGGCGCGCTCATAAAAGCATGCCATCATCCATCTTATCTGTGGCTGCAGGCATTTATCCCTTCCTTAGTCGGTTGATGGAATGCTAGCAGACTGATCTGATATCAATTCAATGCAGTTTGACTCGTGTTTCTCAATATTTTAATAGCATGTAAATCTAGCTTTCACAGGACAAAGTCCAGAAATAATACCAATGTTGAAACTGCGGTAACTGACATTGAGTCCGGTTCTTCCTGGCAGATTATTATAACAAACTGTGTAAATGAGAACATGACAATTAATTACCTTTCCGTCAAAACAATATGCGACTGAACTCAATACCAGTACCGGTACATATCCTAACCTCATAGTTATATATGCAAATTCAAACAACGAAATTTGACACTAAAACAAGAGAGCTATGCTCAAATATATGGACACGTTTGAAGTAAATGAAAGTATTAGCCCTCTAGAAAAAATTTTAACTTTGGGCACTGAAAATTTCAGAGAAATTGGTCCAGTAATGAAAGAGAAAAGCGACTTTTTAGGTTTAGGTAAAAAGTGGTGGTGGCTTTCCACACGTTTTCTCACCTCTGAGGGGGCGGAAGCACTTTCCCTACTCAATGCCACTTGAAAAATTACCAATACTCGGGCAAACGCTTTTCCGCCTCGAGACGGAATTTTAACGGCCTCTAACCGCCAAAATCACTCTAGCGTGACTTGGTTCATGGCTTGATTGACAGGTAGCCTATTCCGGGCCTGTTTTGACTCCAACTCCCCTTTTCCAGATCGTTCTGAAAAGTTTTATGTGTCAGTTTGGTGACACTTCCAGGGTTCACACCAAATTTCGTCCGGATCGGCCCGCCAGTTCTCTGGGGAATGGTCAAGGCCTTACCAGTACCTGTTACTGTATGCCTGCTATTCGATCGTGGAACGGTTTTTCTGGCATATAAAAACTAAATTTAATTTGCTCTTATCAAAATTAACAAATACGGTAGGCTAGATTTGCTAGAAAATCCATTACTGCAATAGTAAAATCGCGTAAGGAACAAGTCAATTTCACTGTGGTACGGTAACTTAGCAGTACCGTACCTGCAGGCTTGATCACGCAACCGCTTGATATAAGAGTCAAAACAGTGTTCCCATGGGTAAATTTTAGAACAGCGAAATTTTGAATGAAATATCATATCTTATAGAATTCATAGATAATTTAGAAATAAATGAAAGTAATAGCCTTCTGGAACAAAAATCAAACTTTATCCACTGAAAATTTCAAAGCAATTGGTCCAGTATTCGAAGAGAAAAGCTATTTTATCATGATAATGACAAAGAAGAATAACAATAAGAAGAGTGCCAGCATAAACTATACAGGGACAGCGCTAACTCGCGTTACAGGCCAGAGACAGGAAGTGTCATGTATTCCAGAACATTCTAACTAAACGAAATATCTTAACTATGGCGTCATACAATCTCGCCAGTCAATCATTGAAGCACTGCTGCAAACCACTGCAGTAACATTATCTTCGCGCCTAACGGTGCAAAAGCAGGGCTTAAACTATTTTAGGAAAACAGGAAAACCGTTTTTCTATTGTGGTATTATATTGTGTTTCCCTAAAATAGTTTAAGCCCTGCGAGCTAACAACTAAAACGCATATGGCAATAACAGTTAGCTGGCTTATGGTTAGCCGACTTCGTTCATTTTGAGCGTCTGTTTAGTACAGTCGACGTTCAAACGTTGCTGTCACGTACCGTCTGAATAAAAAAACGTCGTAAAGTCTCCTGAACGGCTTCTGAAATGCCAATTATCACCCTACCGTTGACATTTAGCTGACGTTGCCTGACAGATGCAAGGAAGCGATCTGATAGTGTAATGGTTGTTATTGACAAAGTGCATTATTGGCACGCGTACTCATGGGTTTATGCCCAATAGGTGTCGCAGAGACTATTCGCTTCATGAGTATGGGTAAGAACCGCGTGTCCTATACAGATCAACTGTGTTTTATATATTAACTATACATTGCATACAAAATTGGAAAATTTTAACATGTATGCACAATAATTGATTATCTTATATAATGAATTATGATTGTGTATTTTATGATTAGTGATTATTAATGTTGTAGATGTACCGATCAACTGTGTTTTATATATAAATATATATATATATATATATATACAAGAGAGCTATGCTCAAGTATTTGGACGCCCCAAAGTGTCGCTATTTTTTATTCTGACACATAAAAAACGAATCTCTCGAAGTCCACAGAACTGTTTGAAATAAGTAAAAGTAATAGCTTTTGGCGAAAAAATCAATCTTTAACCACTGAAAATATCAAAGCAATTGGTACAGTATTCGAAGAGAAAAGCGAAGAGAGATTTTATCATGACGAAGGTGAAGAATATCAACAAGAACAACAACATAATATTAAAACAATCCATAGGTCCACTCACGTGTCCAAAAACGCGTGTCCCCACTTGCTTTCTTCGTGTACTTTGTCACGTTAAGCTTATTGCTCTGTCAGCAGTTCTCAGTTAATTCGGCTCGCCTAACAAGGACTTGTATTTGTAATTGATTCGTGTTCCTTTAGGCATACCGATTATTTGTTTTCTTACTGTTCAGAAATCTATTGGTACTGCATTTGTTTATACCCGAGTGACACTAAAATTAATTACCGACTTTTACATACTCCACCAACTGTTTGGCGAGTGTTATTGTGTTCGACCTGATTTTGCAATCCTTGAGCAATTTTTACAAGTCATTCAAGTCATAATACATTTCAGTGTATTCAGTCAAGTAGACTGTTGTTTTGGGTGATTTGAAGAACACAAGTTGTATTATTCGTTTCTGAAGGTGCCCTCCCTTCATAGCATAATAGGTAAAAGGCCGCGTCCACAAATTAATTTTTACTAACAACATCTGTGGCACACTGTGATCCAAGTGGACGCTGTTTTGGAGTTGGCATAGGCCGCAGGAGTTCCCAAACCGCGGGTCAAATCCGGCCCACTTTGTTTCTGCTTATTTGTGATCTAGACACTGCCAATTGTTATGTCATTATTACAGCTTAAGCACACCGGATCTCAAATATACGTGTTGGGTATTAGGATAACATAGGGCAGTAATTCAATCATATAAGAAAGATGTCAAATAACAAACATAAACTACACTCTGGAAACAGATTTTATTTAAATCTTAAATAAAGAAATGGCAGCGTTCGTATTTATTTTTGAAAAGAATCAAACTTCAGCGATTTGTCTTTTTTGCCAGCGAACCATCCCAATTCTGAAGGAATACGTCATAAAGCGCCATTAGGAGTCAAACAAACCTGTTTCAAAAAAATGTCATGACAAAACCATCGCGCACTACACTCTTCCGGCCCGCGAACACCCGCGAATTCGAGTCTTGGTGGTCAGTCGTCACAAAAGTTATTTGGATAATCACACTATATGGGAAATCAAAGCTGTTTACAATCTAGACTTTCGAAAAAATAATCGAAAAATACGGGCAAGCACATCTGAGCCGTACCGTTTAAATAACATGGAACGGGGAGTTTTGAATAAAATATGTAAACGAAGCATGAAAGTAGCAAGATAAAAATGTTCAATTTACCGAACTTACAATATGGCTTGCCCGAATTCAGCCGATGGTGATTTTAAAAAGCAAATCTGTATCATGCTATAATATGAGTATGAACTAACAGGCCATCCCAAGTGAGTAGCAAGCTCACCCGTGCCTTTCGCTCCGAACAACGTCAGTCACAAGCGACCACTGATATTGATATATGTAACGATTATTATACCTTTGGTCAGGTGGCGGGATTTAAACGATGAGAGGCCCCTATATAGGGTACCATATTTTTTGGACTACAAAGTGGGACGCCTCCGAAGACACGGCCCCTTAGCTGTGATCCTGTAACTTTACAGTTTCCGATTTTACTACATAGGCTTACATTTAAAGCCATCCCGGCTGTCTTCATTGACCATATTGTCATCGAGAGTTCATGCGAATATTCTCTGTCTAAATATCGGGTTCAGTTAGAAAAATAGAAAGGAATAGACGCTAACGATACAAATGATCCGAATTTAGATTTTTTTATGTACAGCAAAAGGAATAAAGAATAATGAAATAGACTGCCGTTTTCAAGCATTGAGAATTTACTTATTCCCTTCTGTAGATAACACCTTCAAAAAGGCGTTGCTCAATGTTACATTCACGTGAATGTCCGAACAGGACCAATTAGAATTGATTTTACATGTTATACGTTCGCTAACAATGTTAGCGGGAAACAACAAAACAAACAAAATTACGCATTCACCTTCAGTAAGTAGGCTAGCGTTGCGCTACACTGCAACAACATTAACAAGAACATGTTCGTGTAATATGCTGGATGGCTGAAGGCAAAAGCGGGACTTTTGACTGACTTCGGGACGGCGGGACAAGACGCTTAAAAGCGGGACTGTCCCGTCTAAAGCGGGACGTATGGTAAGCCTACCCCTACAGGTCAGGCTATATATACCCTTTGAGATTCCCTTTCATTACGGCGGTTTCAAAAAATGATTATGGCGTAAAATGCGCATTTTACATTTATTTAAAGTCGTCATGAATAAGACGTTATGACGTCATAACATAACGAAATTTAAGTTAAAGGCAAGATACTTACATTGTTTCCTCAAGTAGATTGGATAGTGGGTTGAATTTAAAAACATTTCAAGAAACTTGATGATGGAACGTCCTTGCACCGAAAACCCGACAATAATATATATTTATGGTGACAGCACATTTGAACCCACGTGCATTTGGCCCATACATTTACACTCGTATATCCACGGGTTCAATCTATATGCGGGTGGTAAAATCCATGGGTTAGGGATAGTATTGGTTCAAATAGGTGCAAATTTCCATAGGTGCAATAAGATGCAGGTGCAATTGTGGTGGGTTCAAATTACGAGTTCAAATGTAATGGAACCTAAATTTACATCCCGAAAACTAAGCTAGTAGTTGCTATATATTTTATATATAAAACTTCTCCTCGTTGATCCTTCCACGATGCCAACGAAGAGCACACAATTCTGAGAGGCGGTGCGAAATTGCCGAGAGCAACCATGCCTTGACTCGACGCAAAAAAGGTCAAAAAAGCTTCCGCAAACAATTGTGGTCAATTTCGAAGTTATACAAGCGCGATATTTCGTCTTTGTTGGTTGGTTCGTTTGTGGGGAGAATTGGTAGAAAAATGCTGGGATCCCTATAGAGATATTAAACCTCCAGGTGTCGTACAAAGCCCATATTCATGCTAGAAAGTCAGACAGGGAAAACACAAACAGTGTTCTTTGACGCATGAGTATATAAAACCAAATTTAAACAATATGGGATATGAAATAATCATTTTAAAATTTTGAAAAGGCAGCAACAAGTTATTTTGAGGTTCCCCATTATTTCTTGGCAATATTTTCATTCGAAAATTGTGTTTCTCACAAACTTTTTAGTGCTACCATATTATGAATATTTATTTAGAGCAAATTTCCTAAATTTATTTATTTGGTCGAAATAAGATTTAAAAAAGTAAATGTAAGTATGTAAAAAAAGACAACACGTATAGTTTCGAAAATAGGTAGGTCTTACGAAGAGTAAGTAGATCCGTGATATAAAAAGTGTGATATGGCTTTGGGTATCCCTGATTTAAAATACAGTAAAATAGGTTTTAGTCTAAGTGGCAAGGTCCTATGAGTGTATGGTAACTATGTTATACTTCACCCGTTTTTGTTTCTGGAAAGCCTAAGAGTTTCATTTCGATGTTAGGTTCAATATTACTTGTCCTTTGTTTGTGTAACTTCGTTATTGGTCGGTCGATCGCAACGTGTTTCAAAAATTTTAGTCGGTATGAGTCAAAGATGATTGTTGTGTGACTTGCAATCTAAACATCCAACAATTACTGATAACGTAAGCAAGGAAACAGATTTCAATTTACAGCTCAATTAACCGCTGTGTGTTTATAGTTATGTCACTAAAACGGATGATGGTACACACCACAAATATAATCCCAAATTGACCAAATGTCAATGTGTGACCTCTACTGTATGATTTTTGTTTAAGGCAAATGTGGTCAAATAAAGTCACGCGCTTTCACTTGTAAGCAGAGAGGACTAATCTCTTAGTGCAGTTATGCCGACAACTGAATTGCAAAATCAAATGAAACTTATATATTTATGATGGCGCATTTAGCGTTAGCAAGTACTGACTGGTACGAGACTTGAAACGGTTTATGTATACGTACGGTCGGAAAAACAGCTATCAGATAGTGAATTGCACATACCTGTTCTTTAAAATCAATTAGGCAAATGACCCGATAGTTATACTGGCAGTGAATGGATATGCTCAAGGTCAATCAAAAACAATGACTAAAAGCATTTTGGACAACCATATTCCGTAAGTTCAGAAAACACGTTATGATAACTCTGACTCTGTAATGAGCACAGCAACGTTCCATTCCGTCGACGTGGAAGAGCTTGCAGTTCAGACGACAATTGTGAGCCATACGCGATATATTTTGTTTACAGCACATTTCCACCCACGTATATCTGTACACGTAAACTGCACCTATACCCGTTTGCATCTGCATACTTTTGCACCCACCGACATTTCCAACCACAGTTTTTTAGCACTCGCCATAAAAATGGCACCGTCTAACTTTTGCAACCATGAACATTTGCACCACAAACACTTGTACCTATGAACATTTGCACCCTAGACATTTTCACCCATGTACATTTGCACACACAAACATTTGCACCATAAACAAGTGCACCCGAGTACATTTGTATCGCGTACATTTGCACCCACGAACATTTTGCAGACTGAACATTTGCACCCAAGGACATTTGTACCTTTGGATACTTGCACTCACCTACATTTGCACTCCCTACATTTGCACCCGTGAACAATTGCACCCTCGAACATTTGCACTCGCTTACATTTGCACCCATCGACATTTAAACCCACGTACATTTGCACCCATGTACATTTGCACCTATCGACATTTGCACCCACGGACATTTTGCAGCCTGAACATTTGCACCCACGAACATTTGTACCCATGGATACTTGCACCCACCTACATTTGCACCCCCTACATTTGCACCCGTAAACAATTGTACCCTCGGACATTTGCACCCACGTACATTTGCACCCGTGTACATTTGCAATCACTTACGTTTGCACCCACGTACATTTGTACCCATATACATTTGCACCCACAGTCATGTTCGCCATGCTCAAATATATGGACACGAAGTAGTACTGGTATACAGTCTGTCTCAGTAGCCAACCGGTACCCAGTGTTCATAACTGCGTCAGACCACAAGATCGATGACGCGAAGCCCTAATGGCCACAAATGATACAATTTTTAATTTTCATGACTTCATCGCACACCATAAAACAAATCTCTTATAGCCCAGAGGGCTACTTTTTTCATAACAACATGAAAAAAAAGACAAGGGAAGTACAACAAAACGATCCATAGGCCCACTTCGTGTTCAATAAATCTTTCAACGCACATGCTACGTCGCCTTGACCTTGTGTGACATTTGTCCTTCAACTATAGCCACAGTGAATTCACTTCGTACAGGTTTTCCATAACCTACTATATATATTATTTGCGCTTTAGTTTGCTCAAGTTCTCTGCTACCACTGCTCTTAAAAACAAAAACGTGCGACCTTGTTTGTTGTATCTTCTTTATATACATTTTCATTTTTTTTATTTTGGTATTTAATGAAATTCTCTATCATCCTACGAATTCTGCGAAATCACTGAATGCATTTTGTTTCTTGCGTTATATTTTTACACTCGTCTATCACGGAGTTGAATTCTTTTGGTCATTAGAAATGCACGTATCACTCTTTTCCTCTATCACGTTTTTGTCTGCTAATTGAAATTAGTGTGCTTTATTTATATTCAGTTAGAGCGTTCGGATATTTCTACATGTAAATCAGGACTTAGTACCACCGTATATAACTTTTAAATATTAAAACTGATTTCCTGTAGTTGATCATCACATTTAACAATTCAGTTTAAGAAATGAATTGACGTTTCATTTTTAAGCAATAGAAAGGCGATCTTTCCCAACTGAAAAACTATTGATTGATTTTCTTATCTGTCTGTTTAGCATTAAAAAATAACACACGGGATTGATTTTAATATTGGTTTCGGGCTACAAGAGATATATCCCCAAAGTTGCGTTAAGCCGGCACCTGCCTACCATAAAAACTTTAAAAATCTAGAATCATAATTTTATTTCAAAACTGTTAAAATAATCATATTTCCTTACTTACGTTTATTTTAGTAGTTAGTTTATTTTAACAAAAATGCAAATTAAAAAAATAAAAATAAATGAAAAACGCATATTGCATATTAGGTAACAGGAACATTATTATACACAAAAATCACTAAAAATTGTTGAAAAATGAAAGTTATTAAATTGAAATAATATTGTTCATCTGATTAAAATAAATTTGAAAAATTAATGAAGTTTCCAATGTGATTTGTTCAATGAAACATCCTAGAAGGTTGCTTCAATTTAATTAAAAATCAAATCAAAAAGTTAGATTAAAAATTATTTTACTTATTTCCTAATTTATGACTTTTGGGAGATTCACCGAGAATAAAAAGGATTCATTATTGTATGATATCAACAGATGTTTTAGTTTTGCACGTCAATGCGCTCCAAAACTTTTCAAATGCCTTTTTCTTTTTTTCGGACTTTGTAACATTATTATTCAACCCTATACCTTTTATGCTATATCTTGGTTTAGCATTTTCGTCATGTTTCAAAGTGTTTTCTGTCTGGCCTATAATTTCATTGCTATTAGAAATTAGGTTTGGATTAATTATTCCATTACGCTGACGAAGAGGAACATTATTTGATACATTTTTCTCAATTTCTTCTTCTGTTAGTTGCGTGATTTTTCTTCTCGTATGAAAGATGAGTTTTGATTTTTTATCAATTTTTTTGCCCTTCAATATGCATTGTGCTTCATAAGGGAGCATAAACCATCTCATATCTCGAACACTAGAATTTTCGTATTTTGGTCTTTGGTCTTCCACGTTCTTACCGACAATCTATGAGAAACAAATTAAATCATAGCATGAAGTATATTGAACTGCAGTATTAACACAAATCAAATTCTATTAAATGTTTTAGTGCATTTTGTTAAAATACTTATTTAGTACTTCCTGAGGCTTATTATTAAAACTGAGGTATTAATATTTGTGCCGTACCTGTTTGGCATTAAAAAATATTCTTTCGGCTCTTTTCAAGCAGTCGATTCGAGAAGTTGGTAATCCTTTTTTTATTGTAAGTGACTGTCGGTCTTGAGAGAAGTGTAAGCCATTGGGACGAAAGGAAAGATCTTCAAGCTTTTTGCACGAAAGTTCCTTAAAAATGATATATAAAAACATCACAAGCCAAATTAGAATCTAATTACTTATAGCACTAGTTGTTGATTTGAAGTAAACTCTAGTTCATTTTTACGCTTTGGTACTTACATCGATGTACTCGGTATGTTTCCACTCCCCAGAACGTGCACCATACTGATATTGAGGTAACAATGTCCAGCCGTGCTTTGCTATCATTGATACAGCACTTATGATATAATCAGCATCTTCGTCGGACAGAAAATAGGTGAGATTCAGACGGGTAAATCCAGGCCTTAATACTTCATATTCTGTCCTCTCAGTGTCGTGCCGCGTACGCGTTTTTGATCTTTTCCTAAAAAAACGATATTTTTATATGACAAGTTATCACACTAAATTTATTTTATTTTGATCTGAAATATTTTGAAAGCTACATCCGATATTTTGGCGATTGATATCTAGATCGTGAACAGTTGGATCGATATTTTTTCTAAAATAAATGGGTCCTAATTTATCACAAATGATTTATTGAATTTTTACAGCGTTGGATTTATAAATTGATTTGAAAATTTCTATTAATATTTAATTTATTATATTACGATAAAGATAACTGAACAGGCGCCTTGAACAGACGAATGACGCAAAAACTTACGGATCTTCAATTAAAATTCCTCCGAATTTCTTCTCGGCTACGCGATCAATTCCTAATAGATGTTGGGCATATACTCCAGCACAAGCACAACCTCCTCTTGACTACATGAAAAAGGGAAAAATATATCTGAATACGAATGAATAATAACGAAGCAATATGTATTATCAGTATTTATACCTGTATTCCAAACAAATCATTCAGTAAAGCGGCAACAAAATTGTGATGTAGATAGTATCCACTATTAGCGTTTTTTATTAGAAAAGAAAAAACTGCAAGTCTATGTTCATGTTGAATATGTGTTGATGGTTTTTCGTCCAAGATTCCAAGAATCTCCAGTTCTGGTATATCTTTCCACACTTCCATTGCTCTTGCATAAAGTTCAGTTTCACGCTTCATAATAACGTCGCATCCAACCGCCTAAAACATAAAAACCATCAACGTTTAAAATCAGTTATACCATCACTAGCACTTACAAAAGTGCGAAAATGTGAAAGTAAATGATAAAAATTTCATATACAATAATAGCAAACGTTTATTTCTTACCATTTTAAGTTTAAATGCCAATCCCGCTCTAATAGAGCCTATGATTGCAGGTGTACCACCTTCTTCTCGTGATTCAATGTCTTTTAAATAGCGATGATCGTTTTCGGATACAAACAAAACAGTTCCACCACCGCATCCTGAAGGGACGGCGTTTCGGAATAGATGCTTTGATGCGATAAGTAAACCTGCATATTCAGAAAGTTTTAAGGCATGATGCAAATTAAGTCAGTAGATTGGCTGGATCTCATTACCACCTTGCCATATTTACAGGAGTGTTATCATGTAGAATTTTTTCTTAACAGATTAAAACTGATTACGAGTATATCTGAGATACAAAACATAGGGTTAATACAAGATTTGAGGTATAAACACCATACCGATATCTTGCAGAAATAAAATTATATGTTAAGAGTTTTAAATCAGGGGTGTGAAACGTTTTTTGTCGGTGGGGCCATATAACCAACTTCAGACATCTGGTTGGGTCACACAAAAAATTTAGTTTTTTTTTGTTCACAACGAGTTAAAAATTCTCACAATGCAAAATTTTATCTATTTAACATTTTAGTGAGAAACTTAAAATTTTGAGCTCTTGCATAGTTTATTATTATCAGCTTTGACAGAAGTTGTAGCAACCCTTAACTCACTGATCAAACATGTATTATACCCATGTAAGCGCCGTTTCAAACATAAACTGTCGGATTAAGATAATATGCTAAACTGGGGAGTGTTTACAAAAACCACACTAAAGGGCGCGGAGGGCAGGGTTGTGGCCCGCAGGCCGTCTGTCGCACAACCCTATTCTTTAAAATAATACTCATGCATATACCCACATATTTTTTCAGTACCTGGAGCATCTGGACTCCCAACAAATTTATGCATGGATATAAACACAGCATCTTTCGAAGTGTTATATTTTCCAATTGGCTCTGGGTGCATTTGAATGTCCATATAAGGTCCTGCCGTCGCATAATCCCACAGTGATATCGCGCCATATTTGTGAAGTAATGCAGCAACCTTCCGAGTGTCCGTTGTAATACCTGACCAAATCGATTTAAGCATGGTAAATTTCCGGAACAAATTACATCTCAAATAAAGTTTCGGTTTGTTTCTTGGATGTTGCGATTTAACAATGTTACTTTACTATATGACGAAGATTTTGTTGCAATAAGGAAACGAAATGAAAGTTAGATTCCGTATTTTAGAAACTGTAGTTAATCGCTTAATTCACTAATGTCTATATCTAAAACTCATTTGCCGTTTAATTGCCAATTCAATTGTCAATTCATATCGTTGATGAACATTACTAAGATTGAGTTTGTTAAACTATAAATATCACATTATATTTCTAAGTTATATTTCTTAAATTCACATATTAATATCAAATGTGTAAATTTGAATATAGTGATCATCCATTTTTGACTGCTTGGAGAAAGTAATTTATTTGTTGCCATTCTCGACGTGATGTAAGATATAAAGTCGCTCAAATATTCCGTCGTATCAGTGTCATACTTTGATTTAATTTTTTTGAACCTCTACTTTTGCTTTGTATATATATTTTGCATTTTTTATTTCAAAATGAGTGAAGCTTTAATCCTAATATGCATGATGATGTCAGGGAATATTACATCAATCAATATGATATTTGATATTTCATGCATGTCTTAAATAATCTATTTTGAGTTAGGTAATATTTAAACATCTATTTTGAGTGGTCGGATTCCAAGCAGTTAGTTGGAAGTCGAAAATGATTTTGACGGTGAAATAATATAAAAATGTGATATTTTAATTCACCGTGTCATTTCCTTTTAGATTTGTAGATATCAATGCAATAAAAAGTTTGAATATTCTTACCAGTGACATTCGAGGCGGCACTAAAACTTCCTATCAGCGGTCTTCCGGAGTTTGCCCAGGCTCGTAAAGCAATTTCAAGATGTCTCAGGTTTATTCTACCGTCAGCTGATTCGCTTATGTTGACAACCTAAACAGACAATGAATGATTTATTTGTAACTATATCCTTCCTCACAGAACATCCTGAGGCAAAACCACAATGAATCAATGGATCAAATATCTTCAGCTATGAATGCATTCAGATGCAAATGCAGTAATGTAGGTGAATTATTTCAAACCTCATCCAATAATAATATTAGCATCCTATCCACTTACGTGACTATTCATTTCTCGCCATGGCAACAAGTTAGAATGGTGTTCAAATGGGCCACAGAAAACAACCGGAGGTTTAGGTAAATTTAAAACAGAAATGAGTTTATGTACAGCACCGGTTACGCCACTTCCAGTAAATATCACAACGTCATCGTCGTCTGCCCCAAGGGCGTCGCGGATAATTTCCCTGTGAAAATGAGAAATTGTGATGTCACTTAATATGAAAATAACCTGGTTATTAAGAGAATTTCGTGAAACGAAAACGTGTTAATAGTATAATCCTGTAAACGTGAAAGTAATCCAAAAGAAATTACAATCTTTTGCTGTCTGTTCAGTCTGCCGAAGAAATCAATTTTAGCTTGTGATGTCATTTCCCAATATTTATGCTTCGAAAATATTTGGCCAAATTTCGGAGAAATTCTTTTTAGGCGTGAATTCAGATTATAGCTGAGTTCTAAAATTACTTATAGTAATTTTCCTGATAGTATATAGAGCTATGTAATATTTGAATCAAATTTTTCACATCGGCTTTTAATCAACATGTTATAGGACTTGAGAAATGAAAATTTCCGATGGGCGTTTCAAAACTGAACTAACTAGATTCCCATGAACAGAGAAATGGCCACATAATAATTAATTTTGTTGCTTATCCGTTCTTAGTTTTAATTTAGTGAAAATATTAGTTTGCATGTCTCGATATATGATTACATAAAATTATTTCTTACTTGGCTTCTTTTCTGAATGAAGTTGTTTGCGATGACGTCACTGTTGTAGTGGTATGAGTATTTGCGTACATTGGTAAAACTTGCTTCATCATGAAATTTTCAATTGAGTGTAAAGCTTTGCCAGAGGCGACGTAGTCGCAATAAAGAACTTTTCGAAGTCCAAAAGGTCCATCAAAAATTGCATCACGTCCGATTATATCTTTTTCGATAAATTTTAATAAGTTTTCTCTGTCTTGTTCTGTTAATTCTTCACCGGGATCAACTTCTGAATAGAACAAATCGTCATCTTCATCTGATTTGATTCCAGAAACTCTTGTTTTCCATCCAAATCCTTCCCATGCCATTTCGTCTTTCATTAAATCAAATTTCAATATTACTTTTATTCACTTTGTCCTCAATAATATATGTATTCTTTAGTCTATCTTCTAAAACAAAAGAGAGTAAGAGTTCAAAAAACAAAATTTTAATTGTGTTAAGCTCATTCATATTTAAATTAACAATGTTGAACTATTCTCATCTTACATGATATACCAATTGAAAATCACGCTCACGAAGTAAAAATTGTTATAAACATAAGTGGTATTTGTGGTCTAACGCAGTTTATACCGAGACTACGCAGTATCGAATATGACGGATATTGCAGTAGCCAATTCTTCAGCCTCAACTTTTGTATGGTTCTTACTGCCTTCTTCTCAAGAATTGTTTCCGTATTCTACCATAAATAGTCCAATGAAATTTCCATGAAAGAGTATTACAAGTTTAGAATTTCTATCATATCTTACCATTACACCTTTTATTTCCGACGCGGCCTATTAAACTAATAGTTCTTGAGTTAACACAGAACAAGTTCGGCGTAAACTAACAACTATGCTATTACGAGAAATCTATATAAGACAATTCTCTCGATTAAATTGCGTGAGGCAACATAAAAAATGAAAAAAAATTTAAATTAGATAAAATATTGCTATTTAGGTAAATTTAAAATTCTCACAGTGATTCAGCAAACTAAGACGCAAACTTGCAAAAATTATGATTGTATATTTTGGTATATTACCTTCTTTATATAGAATGAATGTGAAGCTAGTTGAATTTTTTGTATAAATCACAGTAATGCCGTAAAAGTCAACTGAATGTCAACTATGCTATTTTAAACTTATAGGTATAGACATGGCTTTTTCGATGATCTTTTGATGACAAATTAACCACCCGTATAAGATCTCTATTAATTGCATGCAATTAGAAGAGATAAGGTCACGAAAATACCTCTAGCACACCTACCTATTTTTGATTTAAATTAGTGCAATAAAACAATAAAAATACCTTTTTTTATTGAAATGTTGTGAAAAGGGCACCTTACATACCGTGATATAATGAAAATTAACAAATGGGGTCATTGAGTCAAAATAATAACCAGCTCGAAAATATTTAACCTTCCAACTAATATTTTAATTTATGTCTATCACACGAGAACGTTCAACTTAAGCTTAGGTAAAGTGTCTGGGATATTTCTGACCGTAGCATTGTTAAAAAATACAAAAAAATTAAAACAAATTTTGATATCAACTAGACAAACGATTCAAATTATTTGTGATCAATAAATGTGCAAAGGAATATCAGGAAAGTGACGTTAAGAATCGTGGCAGTAGTGTCTGATCAACTGAGGAACCATATATATATATATATATTACAGTTTGGTTAGAAAGTTTTTGTATCAACTCTAACGAAGGCTATAAGGGTTGTCATTTGGCAGTAAATTTGATGATCCGACACCTTCACAATATATGCACCGCCAATAAAGAATTTGTAGGTTTGTGTTGTTAATACTATTGAAGTGTTTATACATAGCCTGAATGAAAATTGACAATGTGTTGCAATCTGAGTGAATTTCTATAAACATAAAATATAGTCATCGGTTCACGTCTGAATTACTTTTGAAACTCACATCCCAAATTTATCTGTCATTTTCAATTATAGCGAACTCCACTAAACATCATAATCAGCGCCGGATTAACCATTAAACAATATAAGCACGTGCTTAGGGCACCAAGCAAAGAGAGGCACCACAGAAATTTTGGAGGCAGAATTTTATATAGTTTATCGGTGTTTATTAAAATATTACGAGTTCACCAGACGACTCAAACTTCAAAATGTTCGCTTATTTTTCGTCTTCAAGTATCATATTAACCTTCTTTATTAAAAATAAACACTGAAACTTTTTTTTGGACACGAAATGGGCCTATGAGTCATTTTCATAAATTGTTGTTGTTTTTTCTTTCTAGTATTCTCCTTGCTGCTGCATTTTTGTTTTAAAAAAATTTCTTTTCTCTCCAACAATTGGACCAATGAACTATTTACACTTTGTGGCGATTCAACGATCGCATTTTATCGATCTAGTGGTCAGTGAACAGTTTTTTGATAAAGTAGATCAGGGTGGTCCAAACCCTGTCATGCAGATACATTCCGTGCGGCTCACCGAACAATTTTAGCGTATATTTGTATCTAATGGAGGAACATTTTTTAGCTATTCCAACTGGGGTTGGGATCCCGAGATTCAAACCCTTTTTCTAACGCTTTGTGCCTTTATTTTAGTAAAAACACTCCTCTGTTTTCAAGCGTCGGCCATGTGACAGTAGTGACGAAACGCAGAGCCGACTTAACGCCACGCAATCCAGTTTTTTTTTAGCTAGGTCCCGAAATACCAACTTAGACGGACTTGGTTGGTATTTGACGATGGCACTATGCTTGCTCACGCTGCAAGTTTTTAAATTACCCAATATCACAATTCGTAATAAAATGAGTGTCGCAAGAAAGGTGACATAAGGAAAACACGGCGGAAACGTTTCCTTGCCCATAACACAGTGTCTGGTTTGATTTCAAGTGATATCTGTCACGAAAGAATATATTTTGAAGCGACATTAAACGCGAGATGCGCAAAATACAACGGTAATTCTCGGGAATTAACCTCAAAATAACTGAAGGCTTTATATATCTTCTTTAAAAGAACGCCACCCATGCAACATAATAATAGTCTGATTAGAACGGTAAACTCTCGTTGTTTATTATTAAATTTAAAGTATTTAAACTCGCGATATTTCAATCACTTTTGGGTTTTCTCCGACTTGCGGCCCGCGAGACCTCCTCAAAAGTTTTTGCGGTCCTTCAACCTAGCAACTTTGAACCACCCTGAGGTAGACTACTAGGTACCGGTAAAATTGCATACTACAGTTGTGACTTGTTTTCTTTTGGTATTTCGATTCACGTTGAGACTGAAGGCATGAATCTTTATTGTCACACTCCCTCAGGATTAGAGCTCAACTGATATATCGGCCCGATATTGCGTGTTTACCGATATATCATATCGGCAGTAAACGGACGATACATATATCGGCTATATATAACAGTTAAAAAACCTAAACATGATCGTAAAAGTTGTTTTATTTACTGTTGGTTGTGAAAATTTTTAATGGATAATACACTTATGTGGTTTATTGTTTTTATATTTAAATTACACATGAGGGGGCACCAAAATCTTCAGTGCCTAGGGCACCAAAGGGGCTTAATCCGCCCCTGATCATAATCATTCAATTTGAAACAATTTGAAGACTAAGACACCAGATAAATTTACAATTATAAATTACGAGGTACGTTTTTGGTTGAAACAGTTTCATATTGTGTGAAGTCCCAAATTTTAGATCTTTCACCAAACACGATAATGGTGAGCGGTGTCGTGTTGAACTAATATAGACTATTTTTGGTTCTCAAGTATCTGTGATAATCGAGAACAGGGTTTTACTATCAATGGTTGATCATGTCTATGTGGAATTCTTACACACATATCTGAACGACCCCATATGTTTCTACTGTTAAAAAAGTATGCGTAACTTCTCGAGGCTAACAATATGATTTTTTAATCTACAAAGGAAACACGAAATCACACAATACAAGCATACATGCTGTTAGAGTTTCTAATATTTAATCTCATGATAAACTGCATTGGTATATCTGTGGGGAATTTTATTTTTTAATCCGATCAGTGTTCTTAGTCAGCGTACTCGACTACTGTTTAGTTTACTCAGAATTGGTCCAGAGTCTACAGACACATGGTAAGATCTTGGTGTTGACAAACTGTTTTAGAGTGTTGTTATGACGTGAATTCACATCGATGAATTTATAAACTCATAAAAGTATTCATTATATTCATCAGAAATAAAATAAAATATCGTCGATTCTCGAGTACTTTCTCGGTTTCTCGACTATAAAAATAGATTTACTAGTTTCATTCACAACAAAAGTAAATAAAATGGAGATGATTTTATCGCAGGGAGTCGGAAACAAATATTTAAACGAGCGTCCACATGGCTGTTGGATAAATCAGTTGTTTTTATATCAATGAAGGTTTTTTTTCGAAATCTTATGCGCACATTTGCTAAGACGAAAATTTCCATTGAATGATTCACGAATCAAATTAGTTTTATGAAGTACTTTTATGCCATGGATAACCTGGTGGAATGTGTTCGGTAGACATTTTCAAATGTGGAGGAAATGCTCTTATTTTGCTCGGATTTGCCTCTGATAAAATGTATACAAACTTGTGCCATGCATGCTAAAACTATCCCTATCTAGATACCGAGTGCTGAATACAACCTAAATATTTTTTGTATCTGATTCTACTTATAGTAGTTTAATTAGTTCTTCTTCTCATTCAGTTCTGGTTATAAATAGTTAATCTAACTATACTTATAATACACGATTAATTTTGTAGACTTTCTATTTGTAATCAATAACTTTTATTAACCTAGAAAATGTTAACTACAAATAACACTGACATTTCACTGTTTTGTGAATTACTAATTTGAACGTAAGTGACGACTCGACTATGACAAGGTGCACATTTGGTTTATCACATAAGCACATTTATTTTTCACAGATATATATAATAGTTACACGCATTTATTATATTTTACCTAAAACAGCCGGCAGCGAAATCCAAAGTTCAATTCAAAGTCATTCGCGTAATTTAGTCTCGCTATTTACTTATAAAAATAGGAATATATTATAGTTCAGAATCTCACATTTTACTGCAGAAGTACCTACCTAAAGACCTCGTTTTAATCTCACAGCAGCGCTTTAGCTTCTTATATTAGGAAGATTCGACAATTATTCAGTACATGAATTTAATATTCTTATTCAGTAAAATGCAATTTAAGCTTTATTGTTCTATTATGAGAAATACTGTACATATCATTGGCAACAGTTTTATTACAAGTTTTCATTTATTGATGAAACTAATTCGTTTGGACTAGAATATATTTTGATGACGTGTTGAAACGAACTTTGATATAAATTCTAATACATGCAGACCTACAAGACCGTAATCTTTGACGTAAATAATTGGTATTAGTATGCCCTACGCGGTGGCAATGAATAACTGAATTTTGATGACTATATAATAACGTTTAACGTCACTTAATAAATATTTAAAAGCTTATGACGTGACGTAACTTTAGTGACACATAACACGATTTGTAACAGTAATCTACGATCTACGATTTAATAATGACAGATGATTTTTCTAGTCAAATTTGTATGAGATAGCATAATGCCTTTTATTAAACGGCTTCCAGTCATATGATTCAAAGAATGAATAAAAGGTAAAAGATAACCCAAGCATTATGAAATGTTAGGGCATGGAATTAAACTTAGATTTAAAAAGACGATTCAGATTTCTATGATCTTTGTAAAAACGAATGCCCACGAATTGCTAAACCAATGAACCAGACCTCTGATTATTATCTTTTTCTTATACATTAAATACTAAATACATACTTTATAAAACAAATATACAGTATTCAACGCAAAGAAAGTTCGAATTAGAGTATGAAAAAGCTAACAAAACAGGTTGTCTCATAAAAAATATTCATAACAACGGCCCTCAAAAATACCTCCGTAGGTTTTTACTTATCGATCTTAAGATCGGTAAGTATATTGATAGGTATTTGTCTGTCTGTCTGTCTGTCTGTCTGTCTGTCTGTCTGTCTGTCTGTCTGTCTGTCTGTCTGTCTGTCTGTCTGTCTGTCTGTCTGTCTGTTAGATGCACGCGATATCTCACGAAAGCGAGATTGAATCTGCTCCAGATTTTGCATGTGCATTCATCTTATCTCGGACCAGAAGCCTATTGATTTTGGGCGAATTATGTCGTATAATTAGCGAGTTATCAATCAATTATTGATATAGTGATCTAGATTTTTGTAAAGCGAGAGAATTTTGAAACCCGCCGAGTGTGTGTGTGCGATGCGCAGTGCGCAAGTTACAAGAGCGGATGAATCGAAACTGCAGTTTCTGTTTTGGGGGATCCCCTAACTATCGATCGATAAGTCTTCGGTTTCCAACCGATATTCTCGTTTATATAATTGAACCGTGTTGTTTATGGATCAATTTTAACGCGAGCACAATAACCGATTAATAAATAAACGAGAATATCGGTCAGAGACCGAAGACTTATCGATCGAAAGTTAGGGGATCCCCCAAAACAGAAAATGCGGTTTCGATTCGAAAAATTATGCAAACCCGAACTGGATTGTTTTGAATAGTTTTCAGACAATATCAAAAATGTAGGAAACAATAGCCAACTCCCCATGTCGTCGTCGAAATACTACTCGAGGAAATACTTTTATGAAGAATTCTGCAAATCCGAACTGGATTGTTTGATTAGTTTCCAGCCAATAGCCTATTTACCAATCCTATATTTTGTGTCAAATACAACGGCACTAACCCGGGTTGCGACGGCTATTCAAACACAGCCTAGCGATATTTTGGTGAGGAATTCTGCAACCCCGAACCTGATCGCTTTGTAAAAATCCAGATCTCTTCATCACTAATTAATTAATAACTCGCTAATTATACGACATAATTCATCCAAAATCAATAGGCTCCTGATCCGAGATATGATGAATGCACATGCAAGCATATTCAACCTCGCTTTCGTGAGATATCGCGTGTATCTAACAGACAAACTAATAAACAAACAGACAAATATCTATCAACATACTTACCGATCTTAAGATCGATAAGTAAAAACTTGTCCTAGTTAAAACCGCTACGGCCCTATAACTACTTTTGTAGGTTTTATTATATAACTAGACCGTGTCGTTCATAGATCAATTTTACGCAATCAAACACAATAAACTATGAATAAATAATAAACCAGCTCTAATTGATACCTCTGCAATTGCTATTTTTCTGGAAAGCGAACGGAATCTTACAATTTATTCTTATTTTCTTGTTGTAGTATTATTTATTTGCATTATATATCACAATTTTTGTCAAAACCGTTCAGTATTACCTGCCTCAACTTTATATTCTAATATTTCCAAGACGATGCAAAACGTCGCCACGATTTACTAAATGTTCCAAAGTCGTTTATATATAAATTCGTGTTACAAAAGTTTCAAAAGTCCCGAGAAAAAAAGCACGGAGTACAAAACATATCTGTGGAAATACTTGCGTGACAACACTACACACGTGCTCGTTGGAAAGTGACTTTGTGAGCAGTTATTTAAAAATAGAACAGGACACGTCTAGTTCTTGGATTGGCATTGAAAATGGGGTGAGTTTGTATGGGCTGTGATTTTATTATTATTTGCAAAACAGGCAGTGCACATACCGATAGAGTAAGAAGAAGGTACATCATTATTCTCTCGTGACTCATAAAAAATAATTTAATATACTTTGTTTATACAACTTATTTTGTATTTGTAGACATGATATATTTCCGAATCATTTTCAAGTGTTAACTCCACTGTATACAGTAATGCGACACGCGTGAAGCGTCAGAGCGCGTGATTACATCACGAGGTCACAGTTCGCAAAAGAAAGAAATGCGTATAGTCTTGTGTAAGATCGCGCAATAACAAGATGGACACGACATGGCTAATATCTCATTTCATTATATTTGGTATCGAAGGGATTCCTCTTGATTTCATACTTTTTGTATGAAAAGTCTGTAACAAGTTTGATCGAGCTTGTTTATCATGGAGTTCATATTAGAAATGACAAATATATAGGCTAGGGTCAATTTCGATTTCCCACACAGTATAGCGCTATTCCACTTGTCATAAAAATTATATGCCAGTCAGTACTTCATTTTTCATGTTGCCAGCGTCAGAACACTTCTCCAGTAATTTTTGCGTTTTGAAATATCACATCGTAAACTTTTCAACATAGAAGGTCGTTAGTAGTGAATAAAATGAATTAAAATAGTATTTTTAAATTGCTGCCTTGGCAGTTATTAAATCATGTTGTGATAAATTCACTATTACAACCTAAGGTGGGCTAAATATTCTTCTTATTAAATCTAATATATTATAATATTTTATCGGCTTGATATCATTCAGTCACATTCGTTATCAACCACGTGCTTTAGACACAATATGATTTACCAATATATAGCCATCATATTGGTTAAAAGGTTTACGTATATTGGATGTATGTTGGTCGTGTTATGTTCATGGGGAATATGTGCGACAGATTTTGAGTTGATGCCCTGTAAGTGACTATTTGCAGGTTCAAGATCTTCGAATTTCTACATCACACAAGTAAATGTTACGTCGAGCCTGATTTAATCCCGACTTTGGCTTTATGGGTATCGAGATATCAATGTTTACGTTTTCCAGAGCTTTTTTGTAATGTATGAAACGATCAACATTTTCAAATATATATTATACCAAGTTGGAATGCCGTAACGGATCTTACGACTTGCTTGTAGAAACTCGGTCACATTTGGGAAATACGAGATGAGACATATACACAATTCAAATGATAAAGATGGACAACGATTTATTGATTAGGAGATTGTACTGGATTTGCTAAAAGGATCTTATTACATTTATGTATCATGACAAAGCACAACTTAGCATGTCAATGAATGTTTACAAAACACCAAGGTATTTTACTAATTACATGTTAGGCGAATTAGAGATTCCAAACATAAGCTTTATGTGGGAGAGCAATGTAATTGTAGTCGTCCGCTTTACCAACGGCAAGCTTTCATACTTGAGTGCTACTGCGACTTTTAATATGTTGTAAATTTGATAATTCATTGAACAACGTTTCAAATGCTTTTTTGACTCAATAAACTGGATGTACTGGTATATAAATTCCACGATACGCGATTCATCTACTATTTATTCCAGCATTACTTCACTCCAAATAAACACGATGAGGTCTAAATTTCTTGAATTCTATAATCTCATTGGTTTTGGAAATACGATTTCAGGAATAAGCCTAATTTTTAAAGGAAATTATATGCCACAAGTATCATGCTCGCTGCCCCCCAGCGGCAAAATGTTTACCGTTGTTAAAAGTATTGTCTCATGCAATTGCAACATGAGTGCATTATGTAAGGAAACGTGAAGTTATGATGTAACGAAAAATAATAGATTCAAAATTAAGTTTAATATTTTTTAAAAATTATTTAAAGATTACTGAACAATAACATATCATATACGCTTGTCTGAAGGGCATTGGTCGCAAGAGATTCCAGTAAAATCATTTTCGCATGTACATTGCAGCATACTGTCTACAATCCCCGGAAATTTTTCTGGGTGTTCTTGTAACTCTTCAAACTCATCTTTCAATAGAATCATTCTGTAGAAATAGTCGTTCCAAAACGGCACTACTTCGTTTTTTACTTCATTGCCACTCGTGCCAAAATCCATACTGTTAAACCACTCCATGACGCTTTCCTCACCGAAGTTGTGATTATCTCTTGACCAATAGGTTTGCAGCTGACCCACAGCAGTGCGATAGTCGTTATCATCTTCTTGTAAGGGCAAAAAACTACAATGCCCAACTCTGCACAGGTAATGGCGACAAAATAATGAACGACTCAATTTTAAAACGTCAAACATATCCGGATTTTGAAAAGCATTTGCTGAAAATCAAGGAAATTGAATATTTTGATAAATACCGTTGAACTGAATTTAGGTTAGAAACGCATGATCTAATCAAATATCAATTCTTGGGCTAAATTCTGAATCCATAAATTGGCAGAAACACTGATGAAAACATGAAATATTTTACAAGTATAGAGTGAGTGTATAATCGTGATGTTGAGGATGTTACAGTCAATTTAAAAATATTTTTTTGGGATATAATTTGCCATAAAATGAATATAACCAGGAAAATTAATATTTACACTCTTTTTGAAGTTGCTGCATGGCATTGAGCAAATTTCTGATGCGAATATCATCGATCATCGTCCAGGGTCTGCCTTTCCAAGGATCTCCAAAAATTGAAACAATGTGTATTGCAATAAAAAAATCTAGAAATATAATTGTATTTAATGTAGTATGAGTATTTTTGTAGAAGCGCCTGAGAAATTTTGTGCATAAATTGCATGTAATGCGACAAAAGTGATATATATGTATATTATACGATCATCGGTAAGTGTTTCTCAAATTATGGAAGAGATAAGTCTAAAAGATAACTTGAATGGAGCCAACCTTAAAGAACCACGTGATTGATTATGATGGCGGACTAAGCGGGGAGACGGTCCGTATGAGGGTTTGAATAAATGGTATAATTCAAATTATTGTTTATCGTAGATATCACGTTATTAGTTAAGATAGAGATGAATAAGAGATTAAGTTTATATTGATATATAATGTCCAAATTATACATAAATCGGTAGATTATCAACGAAAGTCCTTCAAGAATTCGAAACAATATAAAAATCACTCTCCGATATATAACATATTCACAAACTGATTTGATCGTTACATACTATTATAAGCTTTATACGTGATCTCTACTTCATCTTATGGTAATTATGCTTGACCAACAGTTATTTAACATTGTAGCCTTGGCCCCAACATAAATTTTATGAACATTGTTGTCGGAGTTCCTGGATAACGGTGTCAAATTGTTTACTCTACTTTTTTATTGTTACTTGTTATGTTAATGTGCAGCAAGTTTTTAGAATTAAATAGAACAGTCATTTTTATTCTTGCTACAGTATTATTGCGATAGACGCATACGGATCCACTAGCACAGAGGCATAGGGCAAGGAAAGGTTGTTAGTTTCGCGCAACCGCCACTGATAGTTGAGTGTTTATATATGTCGATATATGCGATTCATACCTGCTGGAGTAACGTTGTATATTCTATTGATCACGTCGTCAATCATGATTACCCAATTACCAAAGATTTCTTGTTGTTGGGATGTGTCATCGTCAGGTTCTAAAAATATGGACGTAAATTTCTCATTGCATTTATATTGTTAAATGCATTTTTAGAATTTACCACTTCAATAAAGAATGCGTCGTATTTATCAACAATTTTTCGAACAATTGGGTAATAGCAATATTATCAATACTCAATACCTGGAGCACCAGTCAAGCCTTCAGGAACTTGAAATCCAAATATCAACAAAATCAGAACTATTTTTTCCAGCATTTTTTTACAGTAATAACACAGATAACATACACGTACTCGATAAAATACGGTGATACAATTGCAATCAAATCATTTTAATACAATGTGAGGAAGTACGTTGCAATGTAAGTTGATAAATTATAGGAAAAAAAAGCAGCTATACCAACCAGAGTATCCTATCAATTTTAAATTACTATAAACCGAGATACATTAACACGCTGGGGAAGTTGGTAAATCTCGTCATTTATACAAATACCATGCTCAATTCATATTTAAATAAAAATGAACAAATACTCTAGACTAGAGTAGCTTGTTAAAGATTGAAAATGAAATCATCGGTTTTACAAACATTTTGTTTGCAATATGTTCCTGTTCCCGTTCGCTCATCCGATGCGTCTGTTTTCTTTTAGCGTCTGGGAAATGCGTGTTTCGGAAATCGACACGTCTAGAATGTTTATTCTCGCCCAATGTAATATGTTGAAAAAACGAGAGAGCGGTGCTCAAATATATGGACACGAAAGCATAAAATTGCGAACGCGCAACCTTCGCTCAATTCTTAATTTTGATGACGTCATCGCCCATAAAAATCGCCCATCGCCTTTCAATTCCTGTAGTAACCCTCTCACGTTATCACTAGCAATATTCGGCACATCGTCTTTATATATTACTATTATCATTTGATTTTCTAATGCCATCAGGAAACAGTTAGCGAACAATGTGTTTGTAAAATCTGTAACAAAGTTTTGTGAAAAATTAGTCATTCAGTCAACTGCATTTTACCTCCAAATTCTCTGCATATGACCAAATCTATATTTCCAGATCAACCTCATACACTGTATATAATGTATTATTGATAGTTTTGAATACTGATATTTTTTTAGTAAAGCACGAGTTATAGATAGTTTGAAGATAGTTTGACACAATTTTGAAGTCATTTACCAATAATTTGTTTACCTGGAGGGTAACGTTCCTCGCTCATAGTCTTGTGATTTTTATTTTCGCGCTCGCAATGATGGTGAAACAATATTAGATGGTGATATAATATTTAATTAGCTTTGAACATTCAAAGTAACTAACTACACTACAGCAGCCTGTAGTCTGTATTTTCAGTGACTGAACTGCAACTTTTGATCATTTGCAACCTCTTATTAATCTTAAATTACATGAAAATTGAGATAATTTGAACCTTTATATACGGTCTAATTCTTCACTTTTTTCTGGAAGGAGGAATGCACTAATTATCGGCAATGTGCCTAAAGAATTTTATATATAAGATGGGAGTCATCACTTGGTCAAAGATACTCGGCCGTGGGAGAGAATTAAGATTGATTTTGTAAACCCCGTCGCGGGGAATCGGTGATATTTACTTGTGATAGTAATCAAGTATAATAGATAGTAGATAAAAGAATGTCTCACATCATTATTTTCTTTGGTCGGTTTACCGGAGTACGTTCACAGCGACAGGGGATCTTGCATTTTGGCTAATCGACTAAGACAGTATTTTACAAAAAAAGGCATAACGACTAGAAATACAACACCTTATCACTCGAACGGGATATGGAAACCTATCAAACTGATGCCCGACAGTGCTTGAGAGAAAATTCTACCAGACGCTTTACATGCAATCTCTTCTTTGCACCACACAATCGCGTGTTCATATTTGAGTTTTCACATATCTTCATTTCGGATCAATGAGTTATTATTATACTTTTATAGTTTATTTTTTTTAGTCCCAAAATCAAGCTACGCATTAACATTTGACCCTGTTGACGTATACTGTGCGTCCTTGAATAACATGACGTTTTGATTTTTAGGTTGACGTTTAAGTCAATGAAAGCTTAGTGTAGCTCGTTTATTTCTGTGTTAAAATCATCACACGCACATCTGCTTTCAGATTTCTTAGAATATCGCAATGAAAATCTGCACTCATGAAATTGACATGTTTTAATGTTATGTTTGATCTTTGGGGTACAGCGATATTATGCTAACATCATTATACGTCGGTGAAAGAAGGGGTACATGCATGCAGAGTTAAAGAACGTTTTTTTAAAAAATCGGAATATTGGCTTTCAGTGCTCAGAAAGAATTATTACAAAAACATCATTTATTAAAATTAATGTCAACATGTCATTGACTCGTTAAATTAAGCTAGAAAATTAAAAAGTGGGAAGAAATGGAGAATATTACAAGCAGTTCTATATGTAGAATGTAGATGACTCATTTGTTCGTGACTTTTTTTTATCTTTAATTTCATGATATTCCAACACAGGTTCTTCATTGTTAAATTATGGCAATTTCTGACCCAGTAATATAAGATTACTTATACTTACATACGTTTTTGGCCAAAACCAAGCTAGTATACGAAAGCCTTGAGGCAGTCGTAATGAAGTGTTGAGGAATCGCAGCATTGCGAGATAATGATTTGTCCTTGCAGAGGACATCGATATGATGAATGCTTAAAAACTTATAAAGCTTTTGGTAAAGCCATGGCTTACCAAAATGCAATGGCTTAAAAAAGAAAATCTGACAATGACACCACTTCTACTGAACCGACTGGCAAGAAAGACTGTAAAACTGAGAATTTTACCAAACCAACTCGTCCCAGTATCCGGTTATCGGCCATACGGTTCGTGATTTATTACCAATAACTAACTGCTTCGTGGGATTGTACTGACAGACTTCGCAAAGCATTCTTCAATATTCCAGGTGGTATGTTATGGCTTTACAGGTATGTCGAATAAACAATTTACATTCGATAAAGAAAGCTGGAGATGGCAACTGCGCTTTCATATCTATTCTACAAGATATGCAATCTCTGAGCATACCAAATGTACAAAACACTGTCGAACAATTAAGGTCAATCGTAGCCCATAAACTTAGTACTCTTCCTCAATATTACAGAGGTTTATTAGAAACTGATGCTGGTGATCGCGACTTACATTTTATTACTTTTGTTTCTTTAAAGTATGTCTGAATGGGCACAAACATGTTTCTGTGCCATAAATGCCTTGTTCCATATATAACAACGTTATAGGAACGACAGAACAATGAATTTTGGTTCAATTGGCACTTTTCCATAATTGATTAATGTCTTCTATTATGTAGCTCTTATCCCATCTACTATCTGGTTTGACAATTCCTCTGCGAATGATATTAGAAAGGTAACAGTCAACATTTAGAAGAAATAAAAGCACCGGTTATTTTCCATTACATAAAGATCGGAGTATTGAACGTCAATATTGATAATATGCTCGAAGCTGTCAACTGCGAAGATCATTTTGTGCATGTCCAGAGTTTACCACCACTTGGATTTCACGTATTCTGCACATCGAGCATAGTGCTGCATTTCAGATTCTAAACAAGGTGGCGCTATTTTATTCTGACCCATCAAAAATCGAATCTTTCAAAGTTCACAGGAATTTTTGAAATAAATAAATAAAAGTAATAGCCTCCTGACGAAAAAAATCAATCTTTCTCCATTGAAAATTTCAAAGCCATTTGTCCAGTGAATAAAGAGAAACGCGATTTTTTAAAAACAACAAGATGAAGAGGAGTGCCAGCCTAAAATGCAAAACGATTGTTATGTACATTGACGTGTCCAATAATTTCAAATTGGGAATAACTGAAACTCGTATTTTTACTCAAATAATAACGTACAAATATCTCAATTCAATAATAGTCATTATAAATTGCCATTATAAACCATCAAGGGGGCGCATTTTCAAACTTTGCCATGGGCGCCATTTTACGTATTTACGCCAATGATTAGACATTATCTAATAAAATTAACAAATATAAACGAACGGAACGACCAGGCAGGTCGACCTATCCATTGAATCGACAAGGGGTTCAGCACGGAATTGGTAAATGTTCAAATTGCTGCTGAAACAGCACTGTGAGGTAAAATATCAATTCGCGTGTCATGTCACAAGCACTCAAAAGAAAAACAAACGGATTTATTGAGCGTGGCAAAAAAATCTCGCCACAGGTATTGTTGTGAAATCTTAGGTGGTGAATTATTAACTCCTACTTTTAAAACTATTACCCAATTCTGGTATTGTTATTGGCCCAGTGTTCTGGTCTATTTTGTCACCGAGCGGTGAAATCTTGACATTTTCAGTCGACGTACGCCATGGAATTGAGTTGAATAGCACAGAGTATAGATTTATTGACTTACGTCTCATGTCCTTTAGATTGTCGGAAATTTTTTAGAAAGTTGTGACTTTATTTCATTGCATGATTTTACTTTAATAGATATAACGGATCTAAAATTAGCAGGAGCTGATTTAGACGCATCCTGCAAGGGAGCACCACTGACCAACTTTACCAATAAAATGTATGTAAATTTATGTGTGTGCAGCTGGTATTTCAGCATCAGATCACTACGGAATATGTTTCTTATTGTGCAGGGATAAGCACGACTTTCGTTCTCGCGACGTAAGAATCGCGGCAGATAATAGACTATTTCGGAATGTCGTTGGGTTCACTCAAACCATACACGTCTAAAATGTTTTTTTTTTGACCAGTACGTGGTTTTAGTAGGCCAACGTAGCGATATTAGAGCAAGACCTTTCTAGAGATCATCTTAAACGATGAGCGATTTTTCCAAAACAACAGTAACAGTATGAAAAAGAATACAAACAACACAGGTTCTCAGGTTCAAATTGAGAAGGGCTCAGCCAATAGCGTACAGCGTTCTCACGTCCTCATAATCATATCGAAACTCACTGTTGCACTACAAATGAACGATACGTATACACAAAGATAATAGATTGCCTGCAAGTGTCGTTGTCTGTCGGTGTCAACGTTGCGTAATTTAGTTTTGAACAATGAATTTTAGTATTGTAAAAACGTATCTATTTCAAAACTAGAATGGTCGACTTCTACAAAATATTTTATATGTATTTATATGTATAATTATCAAATGAAATATTCTACCCTTACTTGCGACGGTGTTTGAATTACATAAAACAAACTGAAAATAAATTTGTGATTAAGTTGTGTGAAAGATTAAAATAGTTTTGTTGGGCATACACGAAAAACGACCTGGGGTGAATCATTTGGTATTGACGATTTTCCGTCTATATAGCTGTATATAAACTTCTGGTCTTCATTCAAGCATCGCGGGGTGGGAATTTATGATTAGATAGAATATGAAACTTTTTTCACCGATTTTTGTTGAAAACTTATTCGATAACTTTTGTACCTGTACGAGTGTGTATTAACGCTTTGGTGATTAAGGAAACACAATGTATATTACAACGGATGAGGTGGAAATGACAAAAATCTTCCTTTTCAATTTACTGTGTTGCACCACCTACAGTCAGCTTTCACGGGTAAATTGCTATTACATTTTCTTTGGTCTAAGTTTAGATAAAACTGTTATACAAAAAACAAGTGAGTTGTCATAACAACATTTATATGCAGTTTTAACACACGTTGCAAAATTCGCCTTTAAAGTCTTCCAAGCAATCACACTGTGTTGAATACCACACCGCCATCATAAAGTTTTCTGCAGTGGGATTATTCTCTAGAAACGTCGTAATAAACAAAATTCTATCTATTGCTGCAAGTAGTAAAACCCAATATGGTAGCAAGTCTTCAAGGGGTACGCCATTCAAAGCTTCATCGTTGTTTTGCATCATTCCCATAGCACTTTTAAAATCAATGTTCTCTTTGCCATCCAGGTCTGATGTTCCTACACTTTTTGTCCAAGCTTTTATCAAATCAATTCTTACAGCTTCCAGTTCCGCTTCTCCATACTCGCTTCCAATTACACATTCTCCAACGTTACAAGTGTGAAACCCACAGAAAAATGTTTTCATTGCAGCAAGAAGATCGTTGATATTTGGATGTCTCATAAACCATACTGTAAAAAAGGAAAAGAACGTGATGGCGCCTCAAACCGGCTTACAGATTCAAACCGGCTACCGACGTGATATTGTGGAAATAAATATGATGCAATGCCGACCATTATAATATTTCGAAACGCAGACATTTTGCATTGCAGGGCATGGATTCACACAAATCTGCCTGACACGATTAGAAATTGAAAAGAGTTGAAAGAATATACGAGCATGAATATATTATATATATATACTCATGTCTCATTGTGTGCCACTATTGACAAAATCAATCTATGCAGTCGGTTTAAAGAACGGAAGCTGGAGTTAAAGTATATATGGTATTTATCAGTCAGTCAGTCAGTAGTTTATTTTATCACATACCAAAAGTACACAATAGACAAAAATAACTACGAATCACATATAAAACAATACTTTCAGTGTGAAGGGAGGCGCGATAAACCAGAAGAGGTTATCCAGCAGCGTCACCCTGGGGGAGTGAGTCTAAAAATTAAATCATAGTGAGAAAAAAGTCAAACAGGATACTAGCAAAAGTCGTGAATAATAAATAAAATAATAAAGTCGAAGACGGCCTTTTTACACATTTAAGTGACCGATATCACGGTGTCACTCTAGTTAATATGAGAATGCGACTCCCGACACCACTGGTCGAGGTAGCCATGGTAACAGCAGTTGGTTATTGAATAACAAACAGAAAGATAAAGTCGAGTTAGTTATTCCAATCGATGCGGAAATAGTGTTATATTTTGACGCCGTACCGAAGTACGACATAGGAGGGTAGAGACCGCCGGAAAGTATAAGTGAATTCAGTAGCACTCAGAATTCGAGTGATTTTTAAATATAAAATCGTAGGTCTCTACCGAAGGCGGAGGCAGATGTAAACATGAAAATGTGACAAAAATGGGCAAAAAAGCAGTAAAAGGTAAGCATTTTTCTGGTAAATGCTAAGCTATTAATCATAGGATAGATCCAGCACAAAAGCGCATGAGACAACAAAATGCACTAAAAATATACAAATAGGATGATGAGAACCGCTATAGTACCGGTAAGGTATCATGCTATATTAGTTAAATAAAGCTGCACTTAATAAATACCAATAATTGATAATAATATCTTAATAAATAACAATAATACGAGTTAACGCTTGTAGTATTAAGAGATAGTTGTTTATTAAGCGTTAACTCAAAGATAGGCACTTGTGTGTGACTGTATGACCACGGAAATCTGAGTTAGATTGGAGGTAAGAAAACTGGCGATAAATAAAGCAGTTCAAAAATTCTATAAGATTGCGCACATCAACATATATAGAGTATAACAAGAATAGGGAATATGTTGTTGTTCAAGCAGCAGAAGAGAAAATCTTACATTTTTCCGAGCGGTTTTTAAGATCCTTCAACTTGTCATGGTCTTTCGATGTATATCGTCCCATATGCGTGACACTTTCTATCGCATCCAGAGAATTGTAACTTTCCAGGATATCTGATGAATGAAATTATAAATCAATTTAAATCATGTCGGTTCATATATTTATTCAATCCGTATCTTGTCGTTTGTTTGCACGCTGGGAAAATGTGGTGATGCATACTCCAAAACGCAATTCCTCAGTATTCATGCTATAGGTTACACTAACGGTCAGAAATTATAAATTAGCTGAATAATTACCAACCGTGAGCAGTGGAATTTAGAATCCTTCTGCGCAACGAACACGCGGTGCTCTTCAGTTCATCTATTTTCGGAATAATTGCAGTTTCCATAACATTATATCCAGTAAACATAGATTCCGGCCCCGCTGAGAAACAACATAAGATTTTGTTCTATTTCATTAAAAACATTCACAAAAATGAACAAACAAATTTAGAGGCTTTACTTTAGATTTGTGACACAACTGTAAAAATATTGTCACTGAGAAAAACTCTAAAAGAGGTAAAGAATTGAAATACCTCTGTCTGTACTTGAATAAACTTACTAGATCAGAGTAAATTGTTACTCGTTATACATTATGCTTGTGGTTGTACCACTGAATAAACAATTACCGTATATAAATTCCGGACCAAAATTCCTCCAGAACATTTCCATAAACTCGACGGAAGGATCGTATGGAACAAGATCGGGTCGAGAATAAGCTGAAAATAATTTGCAATGATGTTGGAACACTGTGGTAAGTTATACCGTAGTTATGCTTTATATTATCCGATAAATGACATCACGCGATCATGCATCGTGAAAATATAAATATATTCCACTTCCCAGCTGCTTTATAACTGAATAATTTGTAAGCTCGAGTAATGGATTCCAGCTCCACTGTTAGGTATTAATATAAATATATTGTTTTTATACACGTTATTATACTATATGCATGCAAGTTATTTTTTTTTATTAGTTTTCTAGCTATAGCCCAATAGCCCTAACATGATTATTACAGAAAGATATTTGACTAATCGGCATAGTAAGTGCTTTCTTGTAAGTCGTATCTTGAGTGAGTCGTTTTACTAGCCAAAGTGCTTCTTGCTGTCTGATTTCATAGAACTAAACCATTGACAAAATATTTCAAAAGGTTTATTGTTTCCCGAATATATTTTGTTTTCGAAAAACTTACCTCGACTTATGTTGCTGCAAGAAAAGGTGTCGCTGAATGGTTCAACATCGGTTTGATATTCTGTTTAAGAACAATTTATTAGAAATTAAGATGCATCTGCTTCGAGACTTTGCAAGAATAACCAATGGAAGTCATACAGGATACAGCTACTAGAGTAAATTAATATATTGGGCATAATTGAAACGCTTAATTTTCCAAAGTGTTTTGTGCATTTTATGGTATTTCATTTCAAACTTACATTTTGATTATCAGAAAAATATCGAATCTAAAATCTTCAAAGTTGAGCAGATTTTAAGCACTTTAAAATACTGTAAATAAGAAATCACGTGCGGCTATTATAAGTTTTGAGAATATCTAACAATAAAGATAATGTTATTAGAAGGGATTAAAAAAACATACAATCACCGTGAAACGCATACAAACCTTTAACTGTTTGTCCTAAGCGCAGACCATCTGTATATCCTCCCATTAAACCTCTTCCAATGGTATTTGCATGCTCTATTGATAGTTCAAAAATTACAAAATATAGCAACAAGAACTTCAGATTTGTCATAATGAATTTTAAATTGCTTATGCAATTCTTTGTTTTATATTTGTTGAAACACGGAAAAACGTATTCGTTTTGGTAATATCCGTTTCTGATGCGCACAATCGTGTCGCCAATCCGAATTTCGTCAGTGAATATATCCAATTATCAAATCCTTATTGGAAAATCAAATTAAAATATGCCTTCTTTAATTATATTCATAGAGCTACTGAATAATTTATATTGATTGATACATTTTTTACAGAATATGTCACATGCTGTTATTGCACAGATAATATTCATTCAAGACCCATCTCCAGAACATGTAGTTTGGGATATACGTTCAGGTTCATTGATCATAGGATCCTGATTTATAAAGCATGCTTTGCCAACATATAGCTATCTATTTCCGAGGTCCTTAATGATCTGACGAACCACGGCCTTTCGTTCGGTTACCAGTACATGGGTATGGGGTTAGTTAGCCAGCAGATGCAGGGACTTTTATTTTCCTCATTCATTGCCTTGGTGGGAATTGTCCGTGTAGACATCGTGCATAGATAAATAATACAAAACTGCTTAGGGTTTAATTTACCTCAAATTTGCACTGTACATTCACTCGAATTTTGAAATTATATTTAGTTTTAAAACAACGTTTAGTTTATTTTATGGGACTCGCTTAATTGGGATGTCTTGTCCTATGGCGACTATTCTCATAATATGATTTCTGGGGATTCGGACGCTTTTCATTGGTTTTTTCGTATAATATCACTATCACGATAATCAGAAGACAGAAAAAGAAAAAAATATAGCATATCTCATGCCTTACTCACATAATCCATTGAACTGAAACTTGCGTTGTCGTTCAATGTGGTATTCTGGACCAGTGCTGGTCTACTGCTAGGCCGCGTTCCGAATTCGGACCTCTCGAGTATTCTATTCGCACATCATAACCTTAGCATCGTGCTTTATTTTATGTTTTAAGGATTTTAATTCTAATTGCATTTTTCACGGAACCACCAACAAAAGTGACATCATGACACTAGATATTTTTATGGTTTTAGCTCAATTGTGGCATTGGCTAATCAGCATGGTGTCAACAGCGACATAATTTTTTTTACCTGGCGCTTGGACACATTTTCACCCTGACCGATTTTCAGACATACCGATAAATATTAACTTGTTTACTTCAAAAAGAATTGCGTGATGTCGACGATTGTATGGTGGTTCCTAACTTCACCACGAATCATTATTGGACACAGAGTGGACATATGGATTGTTTTGTTATAATGTTGTTGTTGTTCTTTATATCGTTATGAAAAATCGTTTTTCTCATAAATTACTGGACCAATTGCTTTGCAATATTCACTGGTTTTGAAGATTGTACATTTTGCCAAAAGATTATTACTTATATATATTTTAAATATTTTTGTGAGCTTCATGGGATTTTTTAAAATTCTATGACGTCATCAAAATTTGCGCACGTTTTGGTGGTTCCGCACACGTCGGCGGATCTGGTGCTCATCGAAAGTAGGAAGTTTTTTATGGAGAACGGTGGACTGTGGTACCTGATCTGGCAATACAGATACAAATACTCGGATTAGTTAATATTTCAATTTGCGTTGAAACTGAGTCATGAAGAATGGATCATCGTCACAGGACCTTGTATCATTACCGGTAACCTGGGTAGTTTGCCGTTCATGTCCTCATATTTGAGCATAGCTTTCTGGTTCTGTTAACAGTACAACTTCGGCGCATTACCCAGATTACAATTTTTGGACCTCCAGAAGCATGTGCACCAAGATGGCGCGCAACCTGAACATAATATGTGTGTACCGGTTACGAATCAGGCTGTGCGACATCTTGGTGTGCATACTTAGCAAGTTAGTTGAGTATCCATGTTTTATACCTTAATACGCTTGTAGCCTTATATTTCTATTACTTTTTTGTCCCCCAGCGTGTACTTATTATACAATGTAATACGGTATATTATTATATGAAAAACAGAACGGTATTGCGTAATTATTTTGAATCGAAAATGTTAACAACGAACATTCTACACGGTACCGGCAATAATATTGAGGATGGAAACATGCTACTTAAACTGGATACAGGGAGATAATACGGTATATTATTATATGAAAAACAGAACGGTATTGCGTAATTATTTTGAATCGAAAATGTTAACAACGAACATTCTACACGGTACCGGCAATAATATTGAGGATGGAAACATGCTATTTAAACTGGACACAGGGAGAGACCTGATTCAATGTTCTACAATCTACATGGAAAAAGAATGGCATTCATATGGAGCTACGACTAAAGAGTGGTATCTACTTATCTGTGATCTTAAGATTTAAAATGCAAACTTTCTAAATTAGAACCAATTTGGTTACACAAGAAGCTCGCCCGAAACTAGTTTTCGAGTTTTTATGTTTGTTCTTTGCTTTTTAGCTTCGTTTGTTTAGTGAGAAAACCAGCAGCTAGTCCCATAAATGTTTTTTATTGGGATTCGCATTTCGGCACAGGCACCGTCACATACCTTCTAATTGTTTTTGTACTCTTCACAATTTCGTTCATCAAAATTATTCAAAACTTTACACGTAAGCTTCGCCCGTGAATTTTGTTCTCTCATGTTCATGTGTGCTGTTTATGAATTTATTCCTTTTAGTATGATTTTCGTGATGTGTTTTCAGTTGTGTGAGTGGGCACAAACGTTGGTTACAGCGTTAGTTATAAACCTTTCTCTAGGTTTTGTCCATTTCCCGATTTTTCCGTCGTAATTATCTGTGTTCTTTATTTTTGTTTATTCGTGTTCTGTGTTGTGGACGAAAGGTCGAAATAAAATTGTATAGCATTGTATTGTATAAATACAAATGAAGTCGTTTTGCTAACACCGATTGAGCTATGTCTTAAGTGTACCCACCACATGCATATACCTGGTGGCAATTATATTTGTCATTTTAGTGCCGTAGTATACAAGTTAGGTGATAGTATTTGGTATTTATTTGTATCAGTGCAATATTTTTGCTTGTATTCATTGTCTAAGACAGCGGTCATCACGGTGAGCAATATCGCCCATAGGGGAAAAAATACGATATCTTATTCGGAAGGTTGGAATTAGCGAAGTTACCTAAGCGTTTGAGAACCATTGGGATATCAATTGGTGCCCAACCACCGTGCCGCGGCACATTAGTGTGCCACGGAATAATTATTGGTGTGCCACGAAGAGATTTTATTTTTGAATTTATTTCAAGTGATTGCAATTTCCAATAGACAGTTGAAAGTTAGCATATCGACTTACAGACGTGCATTTTCACTTAAAACTTGGAAAGAAGATGAGAGTAAACTATGCTGCTCGGGTATTTGGTCACAGAAGAAGAGTTAACTCTTTGAACTCTGACGGCTCTGAGCGAAGTTACTCGCTCACCCTGAAGGTTCGCGGCGCCGTATTGGTAGAACAATAAAATAAGTCTAAATACTGGCTATTTGGCACGCTTGTAACTTTTTACCAATTATAGGTAGCACGTTGTGAGACATTTCAATCGAAAGGAAATTTTATCGTGCATTCAGAATGTATTTTCCATTTTAAAATACATTTTGTCAAAATTAATAAAATTGACCTCAATCTAACAGTCATTTTTCTGCATGTATGTGAGTTTTGGCTTGAAATTTTGTTAGTTTGGTACAAAATATACTGCCAATATTTGATGTTCATAAAGAGTTTTTTATAAGCTTTTTGTTGATATTCGAATTACTATTGTGGCTGCCATATAACCAATTTTATATTTAAATATTTAATTGTGTAACATTGTATCGGGTGAACAACATCGATAAGCGGCCATGACGCACTGATTACGCAGCTACGCAAAAGCCGATCACGTGACTACCGTCATGAAGATGTTGATAAGTACGTTCGGAACGTATTGCGTGGCAAAATGCGCAAGATAACTTTCACGACGACGTTCTCAGCGGGACATCGGTCGCCGAGTTTCGATATGATATTAACCCTGTTTGGATTGAAGTACCGACGTCGAGTAATGCGTGCAGTAATAGCGAAGTGAAGTTAATATCGTCATATAAAATTTCACGTGGAAAATCTTTTATTCGCCCATGAGTATTTGTTCAAATATCAACCAAAATAAGTACTTGCCTGCTCTGCAGATCAAAATATCTGATTTTACGAATGTTAGGCGAAGCAAGTGGATGGAATAATATCTGAGAGCACTAATAATGCAGAAAGAGCAACTCTTATTCCAACAAGATCATATGCGTCGCCAGAACTAGATACCCCACCGCAAAACGCCAGTTCTAATAATAGATGCGTCGTATGCAGCAAAATTTACATTATTGCCAAAAAAACAATCCAGCTTCTAAAGACAAAGCGTTGCTGAAACGATGCGAGACAGTATATAAGTACAAATACTGTAATGAGTACCTATGTATAGGTAACGAAACCAACAACCATTGGTATAACTGGCACAACAAAGTGCAATATTGGATTTAGTCTGCCTAATATTTTCATGTTCTTCATTGTTCCGGGCACAACAAAGTGCAATATTCAATTTAAAATTTTTAGCAAGCAGTCTTTTATGTACATACATTTTTCATGGTCTTTATTGTTCCGTTATCCGCTAATAAAATCACAATCTTGTTCATATTGCGTATACGTAACCACAACTTCATGGGGCTTGAGCGGGCAGTCAAAGTCAAAGCGTAGTGTGAATTTTGAATGCGTAGCATCGGGTTAATTAATTACTTCCTGCGGACATTTAAATAATAACATCTCGACGTAACGTTATTGCGGATATCGTCACGTTTAGTTGCATTTGCGTAATATGCGTAAAGTTGTGCGTGACGAGACGTTGCCTCTCTTCAATGAGAACATCAATTTGACGCAGCGTCGCTGTTAAGAGTATGTCTCTCTCACATTCGTCCACAAATTGCAACAGTATAGTGTTGAAGCACCAGGAACATCAGTCCCACTGACATCCACCATTATTATTCTGTACGCGGTACTAAATACAGGGTATGTTGTATTTACATGAATAAAATCCCTTAAATGATCTTCTTTGTTCTTCATTATTTCATAGCAAAATGGTTAATATTTCATCCAAAATTTCGCTGTATTATGTTTTATTCATAGGAACACGGTTTTAAAAACTGAATCATGTAGCATAGAAAGTCATAGATCATCTTCACATGACCTGGAAAAGCTGGGACAGACCGCGTACCGTTACCGATACCCTAATACGGGTACTGGTAAGTTACCGTGGCTGTTTAGGATGTCGTATGATATTTGAGGAATTGATGGCAAAACATTTCCTTGTGGATTTCGTGCCCATATATTCGAGCATAGCTCTCTTGCTAGTTATATAATGGTTCTGAAATTTTAAAATTAACAAAGTCAATAAATTTTGTCCATTTGCATGTCTCTTTGTACATGTAGTCCTATTTAGGAAACGCTACACCAATTTTACAACCAATTTTTATTGAATTGTATTTCAAAGGGAATCCCATGGAATGGGATGGGGCAGGCAATGGGGCAACGTATGTCCCATAGACACGCCTGTGTATTTCGTTATCTGTTGGGTCAATTCGATTGTGAAACTTTACAATATCAAATATTTGGCATTACAAGCTATTTTGGGATTATTGAACTCTAAAGCTGAAGTACGTTTATTAGTACCGGGGTAAAAACACCCAGAGTAAGGTCGTCTCCCCTCTTAAACTGTAACTTTCCAACATTAGCGAACATGTTCTTGCGCTGGTTAGAAGTTTTTTTAAATATTTCAAATTCTGTATGCAGTTTTGAGTCGCGAACTCGATCACGCAATTGTTTGATTCTAAATCGAATCATCAAGAGTTAGGTTAACAAAATTGCGTTATAGTCTAAAAAGAGTTATCCCGGTAAAACTCGCGATACAAGAATCGCGTATGGCTTGCAACGAACTCTGCTGTTATGACTCTTCTGAACTCAGAAAATTCAAAATTTTTGACATTTACGGTAATATAACATAATATCAATATATGTATATAAATATATATTAGTATTAAAGGCCAATTTGAGCGATGCAAAATGTATTGAAATACCTCGACAATATCTAGTCTTCACAAATCTCCGCAATAACGTTCATTAGATTTTCTGGTGTCACATATGGAGATCGAATGTTGGACCAAATGTAGAGGACCAAAAATAAACATCTGAATAATTTCAATCGATAGACCGGCTAAACCAACCAAGATGAAATAAATGGATATGTTTTTCATTACCAGATACTGTGTGGGGACATTTAGAAATACTAAAAACAATATTTTAACAGTTTGCATAAATAAAAACTAAAATTTGTTAAAAATATAAAGTGGCAATATATTTTCCGTTGGGCAGACATTGCACATTCTCCCACCATATCCATCTAAACACTCACATATGGTGGAGTCCCAAATACTTTTCATGAAGTTTTCTTTCGTTGGATTTTGTTCTATACCCACCATAATTGTGATTATACCATCTAACATCAAGATTCTGTTGATCCAATAGGAAAGAAGTTCTCCCTTCAACAAGTCTGCTTCAGTCTTTTCATCGAGAACAATGGCTTGTTTCAACATTTTCACCATAACTACTTCGTCGGCAATATCTTCATCCAATGCCTTTATCTTATCACGCCATGCTGTCAGGAGTTCAATTCTTGCTGTTTCATAATGTGCTTCCGAAAATTCCGCAGATCCAATTTTACATATTCCAACGTTGCAAGTGCGGTAGATGCAGAAAAACGTGCGTAGCATATGCATTAGATCGTTTGTTGATGGCTTTCTCATATACCACACTGTTTCAAAAAATTATATATCATATTTTCAAAGGAGAATAATATGATATGAATGCATAGAAATGTACATATATGGGTAGCAAATGAGTCATTGTTTAAATTTTCAATATTCAAGCATTGCGGTGGCTGCGAAACAAATTATTGTCTCGATGTGATACCCGTCAAACTTGCAGGGAAGCTGTTTTCAACTATGCCAAAGTTTAAATATTAAATAGCAGGCTTCATTTTCTGAATTTATCCATCCACAACTGGACAATTAAGCCAATAGTCGGCCTTGCACTGACAAATTAATAATTTTGGATTCAAGAATGAAAAAGCGCATTTTCTGTTATAGTGATAGCAGCATTTTTGCATTACGAAAAAGTGTCCGAATACGCAATAATCATACAAAAATAGTCGGCATATGATAAAACACAAATAGTCTACTAATTATGTCCTATTTTAGTTAAATTACATAAATTTCATGTTATGGTAATTGAAAATTCTACACTCACAATATTCCGCTGGTTTCTTGCTATTACCTAACAAGCCATGTGTGTTCGGTCCCCAACCACCCTCATATTCGACTTTCCTGATTTCTTTTATTGTCAAATAACTCTCCATAATGTCTAAAGATAAATAAAAAATGATCTTCTATTAAAAAGTTTGAATTATTAAGAAATTAGGAAAATGATTACAGTTTTATCAGATTCACTCCCTTTGATTAAAACTGAAAATTTTAACTATCATCTTTGATGTAAAATATCCGTATTCCAAATTTTTGTTATAATGTTAACATTGCCCTGCGATGACAGTAAAATATTGATCGCAGCTATGAACGTACCATGTGCGGTTGCATTAAGAATTCTTTTCCGTAAAGAGCAAGCAGTCACGAGAAATTGTTTAATGGTGGGTAAAGTCACAATTTCCATGACGTCATACGTAGCTATGGTGGGTCCAGGGCCGCCTGTATTAAATGTATTAAGGTGTTAAATGTATATTTCCCAAATAATACTGAATATACAAAATGATGGCATATTCTCTGGGTTAGTCATGATTAATCTACGTATTGATTACAGACGTTTGCAAACTCTCTAGTTTCGACATGCGTATAGATAAGATATATCTAAGAACTATATTGCAAATTTGTGGTCAATTGTTTGCTAATATAAAACCCCATAGCCGAGGAAAAACATTTATCATTTTTCCCGTTGAACTTAAATGCTTTTATATAAGCAGTGACTCAATCCCGTTTCAAGTACAGTGATTTTTAACGACCCACATTCCGTTCGTAAAATTCTTAGTATACAGTTATTTAAATCATATATTTCTTCTTCTCAAAAATAAATTGTTAATTTTACATAAGGTTCGTCCTAACAAGAGTCGATTTTATATCTATCAGCAATAAACTGTAATAGATGGGCAGATGCTCATTGTCACTTGAATGCACAGAGACCAGGACAATATTCTTAACGTATAGCTTTATTTATACTTCGCATAGCATTACGCTACGGACACACAATTGGTGTAGAAATATATCAGGTACAATGCCTCATTGTCCAGGACTGGTTTATTTAAAATTACGTATCTGTAGTGAATTTTTCGTCGTTTTTCTTCTATCACCGTATAAACAAACAGAAAAGGGTAAAAATAGTGGGAAACAACAAAAATAAACATTATCGTACCATATCGATAGGCTTCACCAAAGTTTATTTCAAAATCTTTTATAAACTCTTCCGAAGGTTTAGTAGAAGCATAATCCTCGCCTTTCCATACTGATAAAAATAATCAAAACACCATGACATGAAAATTAGAAATATGAAACAAAACTAGGCCTACTTGATTTAAATTTCATGGGAGTTTTTTTTTTTATCTATCGTCAATAAATACAGTATGTCAGTAAATTGACTGTAGACGCGTTTTCCTTGACAATATGCGTTCTGGAAATAAACCATGCATCGCTGTGTGTATTTTATTGGTTGTATGAAGAAAATATATATTATATAAATAACTTGAGTAATATAGAGATGGCTTACTGCGAACAACGTCGTCACACGTAAAGGTCCTATCAAATTCCGCTTGATATTCTTGACTTTCTATAAAAAAAAAAACGTTTGTGCATGTGGATTGGCCGTGCTGAATAGCTTTTTTATTGCGATAAAATGATAATAATAATTAGGTAATATATTGCTAGAAAGCTATGAAAATATTCGCAAAAGTAGCGTATAAATTATGCGAAATTAGACAATCCATTGCATTTCAGAATGTAGAATTCATTTAAAAATTAAACTTTGTGTTTCATCTCTTCGGCCAATTCAGGTACCATTCCTCATTCATTCATCATGTATACTACACGTACGATTGCTCAACTTGAACCAACCTTGCAAATACGACAAATTTGTAATGAAATCGAATAATCTAATGCTGATCAATTCACTACTTACCTTCAACGTTTGCTATACTTTTTGCTATCAAAAAGAGGATGAGTAAATTGAACAAAAAAAGTCTCACACGCGACATTTTCTTTGTTACAGTGTTTGCCCAGACTGCTTTATTGCTGCTGTGATTTTTTATAACGTAATTCAAATCATTCAAAAGGAAGGGCACAGTTGTTATCAACGTTTTTCCGTCTCGTCTTTCCTGAATACGCAATCATGAACAGAATGAATTCACGTCAAAACAAAATGGCTAACATCTTTTCCCCGCGTTTGTAACTGACAGATTTTAACAAGCATCGCATGTTTAACAGAAAATTGTTACTTTTTCAAGAGGAGTTTGACCAAAGTACACCCACTATTAAATAGAGGACGATTAATTTTGTATCAATTTTTAAATAGTTGCAACTCAGTTCAGGCAACACTACCAGCCATACCAAGGCGAATAATCTCAGTCAAATCATGTGCACTTAGTTTTCACTCTCTGCAGTTAGGCTGGAATGGTAAACGAATAAAGCATATTCTACGCAGAAGATGTGTGAAGTTTGATGATGAAGAGTTCGAAAAGGGGTTTAAAATTAATGATTTAAATGGTAAATGTTATCAATTTCAAATGTTACCGAATTGATTACTTGAGTTTTTCTACGCGGCCTCCTCATATATAAATTACAAGAAGCGAGAGCTCTGACATTTAATTTTCTCACCTCCCTACACGCCTGCATGTCTGAAACGTGCCTGCATGCCTTGCCTTAATTGCCTAAACCAGAGGTTCCAAACATTAGTGCGTCGCTTGTAGTAAGATGGTGTGCCGCTTACTGGCTTGAAGCAATATTACAGTTCAGTGTTATATTATTTTCGACAGTCGTCATCTTAAAAATTGTGATCTTGGAGTTAATATATTTCCAAGCGCTTTGGGCCTACATACACACGAAAACAATTCTCTTATGTAGCGCCATTAAACTCATGTCATTTTGAACGTAGTATCCTAAGTTATTGATAACTTAACTTAAAATGTATAACATATTAAACTAAAAATGGACAAAGAAATGAACTGGATAATTACATCGCATAGAAATAAATTTAGATATAAAGAGCTGTCATCAAATAATGAAACAACAGAGTTAATGACACAATTTGAAGAAATTAAAGAACAAAATATAATTATTGTAAGTAGTAAAAACAAAGACAACTAGCTAACTAGTCTAAAAAGTATAAATATCAGTAAAGAAATATCTCAAATAGTTCAAAATGCTGAAAATGTTGGAAAGTTGCCATCATCTAAAAATAAAATGTTGAAACATGTTAAATACGCTAAAAAAATAGAGGATATTAAAAGAAACTTTAAATACCCCTGTTGAATACAGGAAATAGAGTCAAAAGTCTATTGAAACAGTGCGCAATATATATTCAGATATCACTACTAAAAATGAATCGAGAATAATGAGAAACTCAGAAAATGGAAAAACAATATCAACAAAATAGTTGTAGTCACATTTGATTCCCCAAATAAGCCATCACATTTATTTTTTGGTCAAAGAACAATTTGAGGTGAAGCAATACATAATGGAAAGTTTCAAGTGCCGGTGGAGGAAGAAAAGTTCAGTCATGGATTTATGCATAACAATAAAAGACATTGTTCACATATACATAATAGGAGGCTGGGGTTGGATTAACGAATAACCGGTAAACCGAGAGATATTTTGCTCTCTGATATCGAATATAATTGTGACGATTAACCGAATAATAAAGTTGCATGAATGGTGTATATGCTCATTAGTAATTTTGATATTTTTTGTTAAATGACGGCGGACATACCCCATATCACGTGATAACAATTTTTATTCACACTTCTCTGTCTATATTTCAGCCATCGTGAACTTCACTCTCACATCACAAAATATGTAACACAAATGTGATTAATATGTAATAGAAGAGCCCATTCTTTTAAAATAGAAGAGCCCATTCTTTTAAGTTAGGTTGAAAATATAAGCAAGGCTATAAACGAATACAGTTGAAAAGCTTTAAATGGGTGGGTATAACGACGGGGCAGTCTGGAGGTGGCGGTTTTGGTGATAACTATTTTCTACTGTCGTGGTTTGTGCCATTGTGATTCGGGTATATTGTGGGGCAATTGAGAGCGTGTTTTGATTCGGTACTGGATACAACGCTAATACTGCACGATCGACGACACGCAGGGTACGTATGTATCATTGGGCCCCGCCGGTGGCGGATGGTCTCGTCTATTCTACATTTGAAATTTGTTTGTGGTCTGGCACGGCTGGGCGGTATATTTTGCTTCTTATCTGGTGCATTGTGCTTTCACGCATCAGGCATTGGCCTACACTGAGGGAGGTGCGATCCATGAATTGCTGATTCTGTTGCATTTTGGTCGGATGTAGCTTATAGTTTTTGCAGTGGAACGCCTTTAGAGTGCATGTTTATATATTCGCAAATGATGTGTCGTAATTTTTGATCATTTCATCAAAAAAAACTTGGGGAAATGGATTTTCTAAAACTCAACAATATCTTTCCGGTTAACCGGATGGTTAAAATTCGAAATATACGGATATATCCGTTATCCGGATAGTAAAAATTATAGATATCTGAATTATGGCATTACATGAAAATTCATCAAGTGACCGTAATTTGATTTGAATGTCATTGAACGCTATGACAACAAGGCAAACGTACATCTCGATTAATAAACAGACTGGGAAAAATATTGAAATTGAAAGCTTCAATCACATAAATGGTACCCCATTACATGATGACGTTGATCTTTTAAATACAAACCTGTGACACATCTCGTACACCACAAATTGTGAATGTTTCATCAAAACATGCGATACCATGGTGGAATCAAATTACTGTCGTACTGTCTGTTGTTTCATTTATCATGTTTGCCCACTTTGCATTCGTTTAATATTTTTGACCATTGAGCTGAAAGCAGTCATATGTAATAATACCTGCCCTATCGCCAGTGTTTGGCTTAGTTTGAGTTAGACAGGTATTCACAGTTTGCAATAGTTTGATACCAAAATGTAAAGTTCTAATGCTGATCGTTTGAAAACTTTTATCCCTGACATTATACCAGTTTATTGCTGTTCTGTATTCAGTTCAAGATGGATTTTGGTAATACAATCACAGAACTAAAATGTGAAAAACTACTGAAATCCAATATGCGATTGGATCAAGAATCAGTTTGTTTCAACAGACACAATGGCACAATGGTACTTACTCTTGCTGATGGAAAAGAATCAACAGACCTAAAAATAATCAAAGTCTGTTATTCGTGTATGAAGGCCGTGATTCTTGTCGCATTTGACTTTCCACTTCAAAAAATCATCAGAACGTAGACAAAAAACGATAATGATTATTTACTTTATTGCTGCAGACTTGAAATTTATCAAAAATTTATCAAAAATCATTAAACGAGATATAGAGACCGCCGACTTATCGATCTAGCGGCATGTATCCTCCGCTCCGACTCAATAGCGACACCGCGTGTCCCATTACTAATTAATCAATAACTCGCTAATTATATAGTTCATTCAAAATCAATATGCTTCTGGTCCGAGATATGATGAATGCACATGCAAAATTTTGAGCAGATCCAACCTCGCTTTCGTGAGATATCGCGTGTATCTAACAGACAGACAAACAAACAAACAGACAAATACCTCAAGTATCAACATACTCAAGATCGATAAGTAATGAAGAAAGGGATCTGTGTAAATCTTGCATCCAACCAAATATTGAAATGCCGTATTCCTTAAAAAAAGCTCCTGCATTTTTTATAACTATACATTGAAATGTATACGACATGAAGCAATGGTAAATTACAAAATACACGATATCCAAACGTGGGCGTAAATTCATTTTAAATCGAGTAACGAATAGAGTCTTTAATACATATTGTTTTGATGACGCTTGTACGGCTATAGTTAAGATTGTAGTGCACAATTTGACCCAATTGGTATGCCACTTGGCTGTGATCTTACGATACCACACAAAGCCACAACAGGAAATACACTGAGCACAACCACCCGGAAATTTATTTCAGGTCACGAGGTAAATTGATAACTTTTATTTGAAACAAGAACTAAACACGTGCAATTAGGTTCCACGTATTCCGGATATTCCATCTGAACCCTTGTAGCATAGGAAAATCAAAGTAAAGCAAAAACAGCTCGTTCACGATAGGCTGATAAAAAGACCTAGTTTTGATTTGAAAACAGCTTCCCCGTGATTGTCGTAACAAGTACTTTGAAAACGATATATTCACAATTGTTGTTGGTAGAAAACTCAGTAAGATAGAATATCTCCCGTCGTTTTCAATGACTTTTCGATTTCCAAGCTAGGCTAGAATCTAATTACAATGACACACCTAGTTGGATCACATTCCACTCATTCATAAATATCTCGATTTATTCAGTGATATAGAACAAGGAAAAGTTTTTTCACACAAACTGAGTTATCTTTTAAAACTTTTTGACCAATCCACAAACAAAATATTCAAACTTAGATACAGATTTTCAATTAGAATCGCAACCCGATCTATATCAGTTTTCAAGCAGGGCAAGTATTGCAAGATCTTCCAGAATATCCTCCCCAGCAATTGCAAAGAGTCAGATGCCATTGTGTAAAAAGATACGTTTCTCTGTTTAAATTATCTTCTAAGTTGGTGAACAAGCCTAACAACGTGTCTATGACAATAAGGACATTAGCAAAATACGTAGAAAGTTTCGAATTAGTCAAATCTATTCCCGATATGCCCTCTTTTTTCAGAAGGGGTTTACCAACCATATGAACAAATACTTCGCTAAAATCTAATTCTGCATCTTCAAAGTGCCATTTCCAAAAATGGAAAAGTTCTAACATCGCATTTTCTTGCTCAACTGTAGTGAAACGGATTGGTGGAATTGCACACTCTCCCACATTGCATCTACGATAAGTGCAGAAAAACCTTCGAACACTTTCAAGAAGATCAAACACATTTGGATATCTCAAAAACCATACTGTAAAAGGGAAACGTTACAGAATCGTAAAAATTCGAGAAAAATTAAAATATCTGAACAAAAATTTTATTCTGGTTTATAGTTAACTTTCATCGGGTTATTAAAATAGCATTTCTGCAAGAGGTATCATGTGAGTTGTGAGAGTGACCAAATTGGGTAATATTTGTGAGATCGAGTAAATTTTTCAAACTAATATTTGCTTTATACAGCATTAAAGTCACTTATTAATGACTTACAATCTCCTTGGTTATAGTGTAATTGTTTCATTCTGTCATAATCGTTCTCCTTCCATCCATTTAGTATTAGAGATTCTAGATTTTCTTGACTCTTATACGCTTCTAAAATATCTATCGTAACGAACAAAATAAGAAATGGTTTATAAATTAAATTTCTTCGAGTGTTTTGAATATGCAGCTTGCCAATCTAAAGTGAATACGCTCACGCATGCGGATGTGTGGGGGTGTTTTGCTAACAACACCAGCCATTTTTATTGTCGCAGTTGATTTAGGATGAAGGAAGAATGTCTACAAACATTTCAAAGATGGTATGCTAGAATTAGATAGTTAAGTCTGCTACTTACCATGAGCCGTTGCATTTTTAAGTCTATTTCGCAGCGAACAAAGTCTGGATTTAAAACTGTCTATCGCCGGTGAAACAATATATTTCAAACTTTCGTTTACAGTCACCAGCTCAGGTTCTGAAATATATTTATCCGAGGAAGGTTTAAAATCAATACTAAATTTAATGTGCTTTACATGAAAGTCTTACCTCCAGCGAAAAACCATCCCATTGCAAAAAACACCTCAAGTATAAAACCTGGCGCAGGTAGATACTCAAGAAGTAATTTTCGATCAACTGAAAATCAGCAAGATTAAGAATCCACAAAAGTACATGATAATTATGTGACTCAGCGTACCGAAGTCATTAGCGATGTTTACAACGACTTGAATTGTATATTCACTCAAATCGGGAGACTTTTTAAAACTGGACTCGTGTCAAATTTGTTAGAAAAATTACACAATGATCCAACTTGAATTAAATCTGGACTCGTACTCGTTCAAGTAATATTGTTTCGAATTGAGTCAAAGGCGATGCGAACAAAATTAGTTTTGGGCTCGCAAAAGGCGCCAGTTTCACATTGACTTCACATCAGTTTGATTGAAAAAATATATATTAATCTTAGTTACCGTGTTGAACGTGTTCACAGGTGAATGTGTCGCTGAAGGATGAAAGATCGTTTGGATAGTCTGAAAGTAATATTTGCTGTAGTAAATAATAACATCAAAGACACGGAAAATAAACCCAGCTTGAAAAAACGCGATAGAAATAAAAAAAACTTTTCGAATTGATTCGAATAGTTTTTGGATGCGGAGTATATATGAATGATACTTTGACAGGGGAAAACACTTTGCGGAGGATTTTCCAGATTTGGAGGTTAATTGTAAATAATTATCAGTCCTATATGCACAAGTTTTTGTGAATTGAATAAAAATATATCAAATGAAATATGTACTAATATAAAGTCATACCTATACCCGTCCACGGTGTCACGCTGCGAGCATCTCCAACAACGCCAAAACAATTCTTTACCACGAACGTTAAAATGATAAAAACAATCATGATATTGGATAATATTGTAAACAATGCACGCGCTTTTATATTAATTTTTGTTCCGGATTTACGCATTACCACTTCACTGTATTCGTACGTCAATAGTTATCATCATTTGTGCCTAAAATATTCACCAACATAATTAATATCTTCTGTGGCAAGCTATTTTAACAATTCTAGTTTGTCTTAATATCATCTTCAACATGTTCATAGTTTAACATGTTTCTACTTCAAATGCAATTCTTTAAAACAAGACAAAACTTACATGTATTGTTTGAACATGTAATAGAGTAGTATAATTATTATGTCAAATGAACCACCCTGAAAAAATTGGTTAATCAAACCAACCAATTGACTGACAATCGGCATCATGTTTAAATGTAATAAAATTTTCGAAATGGAATTAGAAATTGAAGCGAGAACATTTACATGCCAAGCATTGAAAACTTACCCAATTGTAACATTGGCTTTCAGGAAACCTCTGATTTTGTATGCGTTATTCAGATTTGTTAACCTGTGCTCGGCATCAGTCAATTTAAAAAGTTTAAAAAATATATATAATTTATATATGGAATTAATTTATTGGTAAATCGCAATATTAATTTTGTAGATTAAAAAAAAAAATCGAATTCAAATGGTGTGGATTAATCTTTTGTTCAATTAAAATTTAGGCAAAATAAGACTGAAAGATTACTTATCGTTAATTTTTTTTTTTTTTAAATATCAGATAATATTTCAATAATTACATGAGGTTACGCAAATAAGTTATGAAATGCCGGAAAACCGCATTAGGAAATTACCTTTTTCCCAATCTACAAAATAATGTTTACACATTGATTCATTTTAACTTCCACGATGTATAAGGTTTCAAAAACAGGCCATACATACTGAAAACTTCCAGGAGAGAAAACTATTACAAGAATATTTCGTCGCGATATGCGACATAAAGCCAATGTAGGTCAGAATCTAGTTTTTCAAATAAACTGTTAGGTCCTATAAATAAGTACTTGGATGGTAGAGAGTCATTACATATTAAGGGGTTCTTTTATATAAATAGTAATTTGTTACTGAATTAATATAATTGTACTACTCAACTTATTTATTGTAATGTCACCTAGATTTAGCACTACATTTATGGGCGTCGTATGTTTTTTTTACTTTACGTGACGTAAGATGTTATATGAAAATTTTCCACTGTTTATATGTATATAATTTTTGCCTGCCATATTTGTTTTATTGAGTCTAAACCAACAGTTTACACTTCCTCGTTACTGCTTATATTTAAAATATATAACAACATTTTGAATAATAATTTATTATATTCGCATATTAAATAGAACTAAAGTATCTTTCAATGGACGGAACAAAAATGTTAACATCAATTCTGATAACATGCTGTTTCTTTGCTGATTTTTGTTTGGGCCAATCTGGATTTTCAGAAATAACTGCAGTTTTTGATGAGTTCGGAAGTGGGATTATGTCAGGTATGCAATTTGTTGGTATATATATTGCATGACATAGGCCTTTCTATATCCTTAAAAATAATTAATTTAAAGTTGACAAATTGTGATTTCCGTCATAAAATTTGTTACTTTCAGAATATACAGCTATAATATTAATTTAGTCGCTATTTTTTGCCAAACTATATGCAAAGTTAAACATTTTTTATACTGCAGCTGATGAAGGCATATTGTTTGAGACGCCAAGGCACTTTGGAGCACAACTAAAAATGGCAGCTCCATCACGACCTGGTGGTATGTATTCGTATTTTTTTTTTTTCAATTATGTGCAGTATGTTTTTACATATATATCATTCTCATGTAATTTGTAATGTTATGTAGCTGCTCGACAGTGCATGCAGTATCTTATGTAGAATCATAAATTAATAAAATGAACTATTCGAAAATGTAGACATAATTTGTCGTCTGATATTAATATTATATTTCTGTTTTGTTGTATCATGCAGTGTCTTGCAACAGTTTCAGGTTTATAATTTTTACGTTTGTACATAAATATCCTATAATTCAAAATTTAATACCTTGATAGACTCGCGCTACAGTGATAAAAAATGATTTTCTTTGATATATTGATGTTGTCCCCCAGAAAACGCCACCCAACGATATAGTGCTACAGTAAAATGCAATATGAGAATAACAATATTTCAATATAGAGCCGGTAATTACAGTGGAATATAATACAAGAGAAGTGAAAGAATTAGCGGCGTTGGTGGCATTAGCAACAGATATTTATAATCATCGATTTACGGTGGTAAAGATCTGGGACGAAGGTATGTAGTTTATTTTATAATGTTATAATGGTAATGTTTTAGTTTATTTTATCAAATCGTGTTGTCAATTTTTCAATGAATGAACACGAACAGGCTTTGTCGTTAACTGACGACACTTGGTTAGTTTAAGTTATGATAAATAATACACATTTCTATTCAGATCGAGTCAGACTCAAATTAAAGGCGAAACTTTACAAATTGATGCGACACATAAGGGCTTTAATGTGTCCATACTCTCCTTGTTCTTACGGAGTTTGCTCTATAAAACTTCTATATGATATGGCATTCAGTGTTCAAGAGGCGATGAATGAAATGTCAAGTGCGTGGGCATATATCATTTCAAACCAGCCATCGATTATTGACATACCAGAAAATATTCTTCAAGAAATAGATAGAATTGACAATGCAGATGAAATAGCTGCGGATCATATGTTGCAACAGCCTCCAGATCTAGCGCAACAAATTGAGGAATGGAGAATGGAGATGCTTTTAACAGCATTTGGATACAAATATTTGAGCAATTACCAGCCCTTTGCCTTAAATCCGTTTGAGTATGCTTTTGTGAAAGGTGTTTATCAGATACTTGTGGAAAAGAATGAAAATAATGAATACGTTGATCCTATACAAACAGTTTCTAAATATGTTTTGCAATGCAACTGTTACAGTGGATTTTTTGGTTCTGATTGCACTGCCTGTGCCTGTTCCGACCAAAGTGAAAAAGAATGATTGTGAAATGTTTTTCAATTTTATTTTTCAAATATATATGACATAGTTATTATTTATTAATCACATTTTCACAACTTCTTCCTTCATACATCATCTTACAACAGACTCTTCGAAAATTGCTTGTTTATTACACATTCAGAATTTCGCAATGACAATTCTATCGTCGGACTAGTGGCGATATACGACAACAGGATAATATGCAATTTGTTGTGTAATTATCAATTAAATATTTATTTGTGTTTTTTTGTGCGACCACCTCAGTCGTATTAAATTACAGTAGAGTAATTTAAAATATTCTAGACCACTCAAATCTTCACAGCCGTAATCTATATCTTCCGAGTCATGTTGTTTTTCAGAAATAACTCTGTTTTGATTGGAATTCTCATTTTGCAATCACCTTGGTCTGGGATGGCGACCAACCTCTTTTGATTTGCCGCTAAAATATTGTATTTCAATTGGGAAAAGGAAGAATGTTGTTAATAAATCAAACCAATGTCTGCATCAACCAAACTTGCTGTTGAATCTTTACCGCAAATCCAAGAATCCTGGGTATCGTGTTGTTGTGATTTGAGCTTCACACACGCAGAACTTATATGACCGAGGCGATATATCATACTTATGTTTGGATTCGCATGTATGTTCGAGTAATGTTGTATTGTTATGCCATAAACACTTACTTATTGTTGGACCGAATTAAGGGTACTCCCGTAATATGCGTACCAGGTTAGGGTTAGGCCCTAATTTTATTTCAATTATCTTATTTTAGTTCTATTAAAGTTCGGGAACTGTTTGTGTTAGCCAAGTGAATTTACCCCCTGCCCATAGGTTTCTGGCCCTTTACGCAACTTGACGTAAATTAGGCGAACAAAATTAGTTATCTACATATTGGTACACATACTTCTGGAGCGCCGAATTAAGAACGGCATTAATTCCCAATTCGTGACTTGACGGAACACTGAAAAAGCGTGGTAGGTCACGATAGGGATCAGTGGTCTCAATTAGGTCTTCGCTTTTTCTTTAAAGAAATGTCAACCCCTTTGCAAATTCAAATCATGTACAATATAAAATGGAATGAAATCCATTTACAATACTCTGACGGAAGTAATAAAACTCGGAAAAACGTGACCAAGCAACGTCAGGGCATCACGATACACAAAGAACTGAGCAAGTGTAAATATAGAATTCAGTGGGGTCTTTCTGCAACTAAATGGTCTCATTTTCAGCTCAACTCAAATTATAAAACTAAACAGCAGCGCATAATTACAAAAGGATAGACGTGAACAAACAATGCTTAGTGAACAAGAAAAAGGACCAGACGAATTATATGTTAATTTAGGATGGTCATCAAACGCAATAATGAACCAATAACAAAAGACTTGTAAATAAAGACTTGCATCCCTATCAGAATTTAACGTAGTTATACACAGTTTACATTTTATTAGTCCTGTTGTTCTTTAATATAATGTCCTTTTACGAGTCGACGTTCTTCTGAATTAGCGGGCTGAGCAAATTTGATGTTTGGTCGAGGACTGATGGTTCTAAATTTTTCTTTCGTAGTTCCGTAAAGACGTGGTTTGTCAGGGTAAAACCTTGCAAACGTCTCCTCCACCGTATGGATATTTTGATCTGGTCGTTGGCTGAAACAAGGCTTTGATCTGTGTGTTTTTTTCATTCATCTGGCAACTTCACGTGTGAAAAACTATTATTATTATCTGAGATTTCAATGTGGTCGCATCAACGCGCGCTTTTTTCCTAACGAAACTATGTAGGACGCCATGGCCAGGCCGAATATAAGACAGTCATAGTAAAAGATTTATCCGGCATCACTTTCCTGTCCTCAGATATCAAAACGCCACAATGTTCGATTGAAGACTGCGACTATATTCAACTCACTTTTTGGATAGTATGTACTACTTTCTGTAGTATGTGTACCAGGTTAGGATTAGGGCATATTTTTATTCCGATTTTCCTTATTTTAGTTCTATTACGAGTTCTGGGACTGTCTGTGTTAGTCAAGTGAATATACCCCCTGCCCATAGGTTTCAGTCCTTTTACACCACTTGATGTAATATAGGCGAGCAAAATTAGTTACCTCCATATTGGTACACAGACTTCTGGAGCGCCAATTATTGTTATAACAAGTTTATCAGTGATTTTAATCTGAAATAGTGGAGGAGAGTATCGCAAATTATGCCCATTTGTTGCCTATCGTTTATTTGTAAGCTTGATGAATTTTATACTTTAATATACCCATGAAATATGACATTACAATATGAAAATTCATGTATATTATGAAAAACAGAACTCGAAACTTTCGATACGTTTTATTTATTTGAAAATATTTATTATATAAATAAATTAATTTAAATGAATGTAAATAGACAGCAAATATAAATATAACAAAAACAGAAACATTTTAATATTACAGTTATATGTCGTACAGAACTTATCACATCGCAACAGTGCTCATGAAATAAAGTATAAATGAATGTAAGACTCATAAATTTAATTGAAAAAATATGAAGCGTCACATAAATTAGATTGTTGGTAGTTCACGCTGGTAGTGAACGTAAGTGCCCTTTTAATCTTCTTCTCCAAATGGGTTACCGCAAAACAGATCACTTTGATACTTGCAATATTTTCTCAGTAGTTTCTAAAATATGTGAAACAAAACTTCATTATATATTTGATATACTGAATAACCCTAGGCGATTTTCAGTTTTAATAGCATGCGCGATTTCCAGTTATAGTTTAAAAAGACTATTCTAGATACGACAGGCAATTTTCACAAACAAGGATTGATATTTATTCACTTACGTAGTGTCTGGTTGGTATGCATATCCCAGGCATGATGTTCACTTTCGATTTTCTCATCATTGACACACAGAATGGCTTCTCTGCGCAAATCAATTTCTTTGTGTGATCGCATTTTCCAAGTGCATTAAACGGTCCGCCGCATGCCTGCCACATTTGTTTGTAACAAACATCGCAACAACTAAAAATGTTTAATATTGAAATATAACTATAATCACATATGATAAAACTTTTAAAATTATTTAATATTTTGAGCAATACTTGTTACTTGTTTAATTCATCTGTGAAAAGTTCACATCAATACCACGTTTAGACACGAAGTTGTAATCCAAAGTTTCGATTGATTATTTCAGTTTTAAATGCTATAAAAGTTTATTTTCGGTGGAATCGATACAACATGGATGGTCAGTATTGATATCGATGAATTACGTCAAGTTTGCCACACTCAACAATTTGTTAGTTTAGCGTGTACGAAGAATATGCTGTCAAATTGTTCCGAATTTCATGCATTTATAGTTTTTCATGGTGCGCTTTTAATTGTCGAAAGGCTTGTTAAAAGCCCGAAGAAAGTAAACCAAAAACTCGTAACACGCAATAGTTTCAACAGAAAAAGCAACTGAATTTGTTATTTGTAGAATGATATTTGCTTTTGTTGAGTCGTAATATTGTACTCACCCGCACATATCTTTTACAACTTTGACACCCGGCGGACATTTTGGTTTCGAACAATTCTTTCCTCCGTTTGGACAAAAGCAATTCAAAGCATGCGAACTTCCAATAAAAAACATTGATAGAATGATAATGACACGCATAGTTTTAGTACTAACGATATTTAAAGATGTTCTAACTTGCTGTATGGCTGAATCTTCTTCTAACATAACTCCATTGCAAATTAGTATGTATATATACTATGATATTTCACTTAGGAGAAAATGGAATCATATAACAATTGGAACCAATCTCTAGAAATGTTACGATGTATTGATCGTTTTCTACTTATAAATTTCCAAAAATACGATATAGTCTGCTTAATGAAATTCAACTTGTTCAAATAAATGGATCGTGTACGTTAGTAGTGTCGATGACGTAAATATAATTCTGCAAGCCATGTAAAACTGACTAATCTATTTCGGAAATTAATAAAAACCCAAACCTTCAGAATTTTCACAAATTCACTATGAAAGCTATTTGAAAAAAAAACTGCAACTATTAATAGGCTGAAGAAGTGTGCCAACATGGTATTTCTAAACGCGACTTTCCATGTTCTTCTCGATATAGAGTCAGCGATGATAATTCACTATAAAAGTAGTACTAATAATTTTTGCGTCTAGTTTCTTTAGATTAGACTGTATTCCGTTATTCTTGAAGACAATCCTACTTTGCAGTTACAGCGTGACGTAAAATTATTCATAAGAATTTAATAAATGCAAAGATTAAGTAATTTATTATACTGAATCAGGTTAGATCTCACCGATATGATTGAAATCCTGAATTTGATTTCATTTATTGCTGAAATTTTATTAATAATTATTCCCTTCAGGAATATTCAGAGATTCCTAGTGTTGATCATTTTCCAAATACTATTTGCACTAACACACACTAAAGATGAGAAAAGAGACACCGCGTAATAGCTGTGTCGGAACGTACGACGATTTAAACATTGTCAATAAAACAGATTCCTTTTTCTTGTATCATTTTAATTTTGACATGAAAAAGAATGATTTCCACGTCTTTTTCAAACCACTTGGACCATTTTTGTGTCACGAAGTAGCAATGGATCGTTGCACCTGCCTCTTTGTTTGTGTGCATGCGTAGTTGGTATGTTAATAATATCAGTGTTTTCCAAAATTGTCCCTAAAAGCCTCCCTGATAAAAGTATGCTAAACGCTCCAGCCCCCAGCTCAGTTATAAGTATGATGAGATGGATGAGCAGGCTGAAATGCGGCCAGCTTATTATTTTCTGGATCTTTTTCAGTCTCCTCGTTTGGTTGCGTCAGGGCGGTTTCTCTTGATATATAGAAGCGCGATCACGGCACTCTACCGAGTATAAGCTGAGAAGGGCAATAAAAAACTTTTTAACCCGATCCCACAAGTGAGGGTATTTAATTTGATTTCATTCTGTAGCCACACTGTTAAAAAAATTTTCCCAAATTTACTAAAAAAAAATGGCAGCAAAAGTACTGGCCCCATGTAAAAAAAATTACGAGCCCTATCAGTAGTATTATGAACAGTATTTTCAGTAAATTTACAGAGATTGATGGTAGCAAAAATTACTATAAAACTGTAAAAAATACTACTTTTTTGACGGCAGTAAACCTACCCACCAGTAGTAATATTTTTTACCTTAAAATAGTAAATAAAATTACTATCTCGATGGCAGCTACCTTACCCGACAGTAGTACCATACAATACTAGCATGATGGTAATTTCTCACTCGCGATGACCGAACCACTACGAGAGTAGCAAAGATCTACTGGCACGACACAACAGTAACACACAGAATATTACAGTTAAAATAAAAAAAAACGAGATTCTGGAAACGAAAATCATTTTATTACAATTAATATTTTTAGCATAAATACACACTGAATGCCTTTAAGGCTTGTAAAAAACAGTTTCGAAAGAAATTTCATCAAATTGCCTCAGTACTGATACAAGTACATTGTATGTGTAAAGCTACACACAATAATAACCCAGTATTGTAAGACTCACAGATAACTCACATATTTTTTAACCTGGTGGAAATAAGTGTGGCTTATTCACTGAAAAAACTTTGTCATCCCTGCTATCTAGCATATTCCATTTTCAAGTTTTCTCTTCTAGATTTGAGCTTTTTTGTGACTTTGAGCAAAAATAGGCATGCAATGAAAAAAAATAAAAAAAAGCTTAATGGAATCAGATTCGGAAAAATTCGATTCAAAAAAAAGTGTATCCGGAAGTGGCAACCCTAGCAGTAACACCACCACATCAATTTCTAACAACGGCACATATAACGCCTGTGATAGATTCACTCTTCTTGCAAGGCCGATTACTTTTGCATTAACGTCTTTGCCTTTACTTTTTTTCGACTTAGTGCCGCTGGGGTTTTATGTCACCGAAGAACCTGAAAAAAGGCAGAACTTAAATGGCGAATAGGTTTCACATATGAAATTTGGAAAACGTCCTGTTATCTCACCACCAAAATAGTAAAAACACAAACACTGGACAAAAATAGTAAAAATGTCAGGTATTTATAATGTATCGTGTGCCTTGCCAAGGGATAAACAAAAAACTGTCAGTGGGCCAGGAATGCAATTGCCAAACCAGAAAGCTACAGATCCTCCTAGCCCCCAGTTGTCGCAAATCGCAATAGGCTCATCCGCTCGTTGACATTCGATTGCAAATGCAGCAATTGAAAAATATTGTATTAATTTCTGTCATTAGTAATGATTTTTTGCAAATATATCAAAATTTCCTGCTACAAAATGGAGAGCACAGTGACATCGTTTTAAATTGAAGTTCACTAAAATAGGATTGTTGTGAGTTCATTTTTCACATATGAATGTAAAACATATTAGATTAGGAGGAAACATGTAAAACATGTGTGGTACCGCCAGTCAGTCGTGATTTATTTAACCATTAATCGGTACCGTACCGATGAATGGTTAAAATAAATCATGACTATTATAAACACCTAAAAACTGTTTAACTAATTAAATTATTCCCAGCCCTACTCGTGGCCCAGTCCCCAGGGTATGGACACCACGAGTTTGTGCAAGTCCAGTCACATATTTCATTTTCACAACCCATTTTTTGTATTGTATGTCATCAAATAACACTACATGACAGAAGTAACAGGTAATTCATCAACAACGTGTACATTGTGCCAACAGCAAGAATTATATCAGCACTGTAGACTAGCACATTTTTTCTTACCTCTGAATAAAATCAAACGTCAGCAAGGCCTTATTTGGATATTCTATGTTTGAAAACATAGAACGAGCAAACTGAAAAGCCACCGCTTCAAAAAACGATCTACAGGAACACACCACTTCTCGTTCAGCGATGACGTAAAAAGTCTCAGCAGTCGCTACCGTGTTACCTGAAACACAAGATTGTAAACTTTAGCTTCGAATCTATAGGCTTATGAATAAAGTGAAAGTCACTTGACAGGTTGATTAATCTTATTATCTCAACTTCTAAAGCCAACTAATAACAAATACACTTACTAGAGGTGGACGATTAGTGATTTTTTGATAATATGCAATTACACAATTATTAATTGTATAATAGTACGATCATCTCAAAATTGGCTTTGGCTATATATTTAATATAGCAGACATGGATTTGTACTTATTTTCACTCACCGTTGATAGCGAGCGTAACACTGATAGAACGAAGGGAGAACTTATTATATTGATGAGGCTTATGATAAGCATTACGTTCTTTCAGAAATATTATATTTCATATTTCAAGCAATGCATACTGTGACGCAACAGTTAAGCAGGTAGCATGACAGAAGCTGGTGATATCATTTTATAATAATCACAACTGAGAAGTATATGGCGACACAAAATGGCCTTTGAAAAAGTTGCAGAATTAATCACAGGAAAACAGCTATCATATCATATTTCGAAATTGTTCCTGATATTCACAATTACATCGCTCACCTCTTAACACTACCTATGCAAGCAATGAATGGAGATTTTGGGAATATCTTCTAATATCTGGGGAAAAGTGGTTTCTTTCTGAAAATAGGCAAAGTAGTGAATAAATATGCAAAAAAATTCCGTTAACCACTATCATGCAGTTAGTTTCCAATTAATTTGCAGTCGGCTCACAAAACTTTATACGAACAGTGTTGTGCACAAGTTACATTACTCTTGATGCGAAAACTTTCAAAAAAGCATAGAACATACCTGGAAACACTTAAATATTTGGTTTAGGTCCTCTCCGAAATAATAGGCGATCAACGTGACCACCCCAGTCGATTTTGGTAATTCAGTTTTCAGATTCTTTGATTCCGATTTTGAAGAACTTATAAATTCAGAAATTTTCTTATTGGTTGAACATTTCAATGTCCTAAATAATAATGCCTGAGTAAGTGATCCACTTTCTGATTGAATGACACTAAGTACTGGTAATTTCATAGAGGTTGGCTCATCGACCTTGCGATTAGTTACATAATTTGTTCCTATTGCAAGACTGAAGAGAGATGAAAGTAACATTAAATTACAGCCTGCTTGGAAAAGAAAGGGCAATTATTGTCAAGCAATTATTACACAGACATGGAAACAGACAACCTCTAGAGCACACTATGTCGCATGTGGTACCAGCCTGCAAGAACAGGTGCACAATAACTAGGGTACTTGATTATGAAGTAAAATAAAGAATAGAAGAACTTCAGAATATTTAAGTATAGCCTAACCTCAGATAAGTTATAACCTCTTATAGGAAGCAATAAATAATGGGGCACAAGAAGGCTTTCAACAAAAACTCTGCAGGCATAGCATTCGAATGAAAATTATCTTGCAAAGTATCAGATATTTGTGCAACTTACTTGTAAATGCATATGGAATTGTCTTCAAGTTTTTTAAAATATTCTTTTTAGCTTCTGTTTTACCAACCAATGTTTCATAATGGCGCATTAAACAGATTCCATCGAACAAGTGTGGCCATAACTCCTTGATCCCACTGATGCTTTGATTTTGATTTATATGCTTTCGTTGAAGAGGGAAGGTCTGTTTCATATATTCTTCCACTTTTCCCAAATCCTGATCAGACTTTGATAATGTGTACTCATGCTTGAGCCACATTCTATGTTGTTCAAGTTCCCCTTCATTATCTGTTTCAGGACCCCAAAGCACACAGCCATATCTGTCAACATCTACTTGTTCTTCCACCTTAGGCTGTTGGCTTCTCTTCTTTGATGTGGACTTCCGCAAGTTGTCAATACGCCAAACCATTTGTTGGGTCAGGTAGGAATAGCCAGACCCAATGACTTCACCTTCAGGTCCACTTGTATCTTGGAAAGACTTTGGATATCTACGTATGACCCTTTTAGCAATAGTCGACAATTCTGCCCTTGACGGCTTGGAACTGCCCGACCACTTCAGGACAGAGTCCACAAGAATGCGAACAAACTCACTTCTTCTGGCTGATGGAACAACTGTGCCATTTTTGCACATTTCAATTATGTCAGTGGGAAAGTCTTTCCAAGATATCACAAAGTTTTCTGCATTGCAAGATGAAGAGGAATCGCTGAATAGTTCAGTTGCATCGGATGAAATATCCAGACATAGACTATCTTTCCAGTATGCAACAATTTTCCGGGCCAATATGACAGACACCACACCATAGAGGTCTTCCTCTTTAATAAGCAAGAGATCAGAAGAATCTTCGACGCCAAGGTCTATTAATTTCACATCCAGGTCTTGTATTGCTTGGTTATTCAAACCAATTTTAGACAGTTCATTCAAATTTATATTAGCCATTACTAAAATCTTCAGCAGTGCCAGCGAGAACTAAAACATTTATTGAAATCACAGCCAAAAATAAAAAATAAATTTTCAAAAAATAAACCTGTCAATGTAATCACTACTTTCCTATATTTATTTACTTTCCTATATAAACCTAGGCAATGGGAAGGGCCAAAAATGTTGAACAGGTTAACGGTACAATTAACCAATTTTATGTACTCAAGGGTTACAATTCTTCCGAGCATAAGTCACTGAAAACAAATTTAGCAATAGAACTAACAGACGCAAAAAAACGCAATACTTCATATTTTCATCCATGTTATTATGTCCACTAAACCATGCTTTATTTTATTTTTTCAGTATAACAAAACCTGTTAGAGGATCTAGTACTGTCAAAAAGACTCGAAAAGATCTCTAATAACTATTACTGTCATTTTACTGTGAAGAAATAAAATGTCCTAACAGTATTAGGATATGTATATAATACAGTGTAAAGCGCCAAATACGTTCCGACCAAGATGGCCGCCTTGTAGACTTTGTAGCTATAATTGAATTCATCTGTCTGTTACCGGTACCGTACCTATTGTTGCCACCGACTTGTAACGTTTGAACGTATCACATCACCATAGGCTACCGGTAAGTTACCTCTATTCCGAAACAAATACTGAAATAGCCAATTCAGATTTTTACTCTTGGTCGTCGATAGATACTGGTGCCGGTAACACGGCGAAACTAACGCAGTGTGTAAGCATGTCGCTGTATACAGGTACGGTACCATTAGATGCTGATGTACACGGTATTTAAAGAATATTTTGGTCTACCAACTACAAGTCTACTACTGTAACACAAACATGCTCAATTAACGCATGAAAAGCTACAAAAACCAACCGCCTAAAATAAACATCTACAAAAACCAACCGCCTAAAATAAACATTCACTAACGACAAAGAGCCTCGCTTACCGAGTCCTAATTCCTAAACCAGAAAAAGCGCGGGCTACAGGCACGTGACATTTGAGTGATGTCATAATTGGCACATTACCGGTACCAAATGACCTGTGACGGTAAAGAGAAGGATTAAAATATAGGAAACTTTGTTCTCTGCAAAAAGTACCAGTACCGGTACCTCAATAATCAGACCACTACCCGTGGTAAATCCGCACCTACCGTACAGACCGTTGCTAACACAATCATCAAACTCAGACTCAAGCTATTGCATACTTAACATGCGTACCGCATTCAGTTTTCATACGCACGCAACCGATGCTGAGCTCCCAAACAGCTTAGCGTCCCAGCCGAGATGCGCGGCACAAGGAAACTCGAAATCAAAAATGCTGCGCACGCAACCTGCCCCGTGGAGTTTTTGCGGATGAATATTTGGACAAATAGGCCCGCTTACTTCCGGAAAAATAAAATATAAAACAATATCTTATCTTGTCTAATGCAATAGCAAAACAATCAGAATTTTTGGGTGATGAACCAAAATAATTCTAGAATAAAATTAATTCAAATTAATTTGATACCCAGAGCAAAATTTAGATGAAATTTTAAAGTATTTAAATTTGCTTCGTGACTATATCGCATGCGTAGGTAGATAAATTCGTTCATTGGAAAGAATAGTTACTCGTAAATTAGAGGAACTTAGATTTTTTTACTTTTTCCAAGTATACAAATCTTTTTACTATTTTTCTGTTATATTAATTACTAACTGATCAGTGAAATTACTACTTTTTCCAAGTATACAAATCTTTTTACTATTTTTCTGTTATATTAATTACTAACTGATCTGTGAAATTACTATTCATTAGTAAACTATTAACAAACAAGCACCCTGATTGGCTTAGCTAAGCAAGTCACGTGATTTCAATAAAATACTCGAAAAATTAGTAAAAATTTACTAGAAAAATTAGTATATTTACTAATTTTTTTAACAGTGCAGAAAGATTGATACGAAGCACTCAAATTTGTTTTGAAGAATAGTACTTTTTTTTGTCTCAAAGTGTCAGGAAATATGCAACATTTTCGCCTGCTTTATTCAAATGCATATTAGTTAAATGCCAATAACTTCTGAACGGTCTACATCGCTACATTATGAAACGTTTTGTTACTTAGCAAACACATCGGTTGCAAAACAGTATTTGGGGCTGGAATGAAGCCATGTGGGAGATACCTTCTACTTAGCGGCTATTGTGAATGAAGCGACATCAAACGTAATCCATGTCTTAGAGTACAATTATTACGAAATAATAAGAAATATATACAGCTATGTTTACGTCAATTGCGAAAATACGATATGCCAAATTCATAAGCAAACAAGGTCAAACCGGAACATGAAACTAAAGTAAATAAAAATGCCGAGTATACACAGCCATCTTCTATATATACTTCAACATGTCAAAATATTTGATTTTTAGTTTGAAAGTTTTTTTGCGATTTGGCACTCGTGGTTCAGGTATTCGGGACTGTCAGTTCCATTCAAAATATGGAACTATGTACCGTTTGAAAGTATTGAATAGTAATTTATCCCAGTCTATCGCAGCCTTTTCGGAACTAATTTTGGATTAGGCTACTACAACTAAACTAATACTCTCCGGAGTCAAAATAACCAGTGCAACAGTTTGGATTTTGTTACTGTGTTTTTTAAGTTGCAAGATTCAAGATTCCATTTTGAATATTTATTGAAGACAGCAAGAGTTATATTTTCTCTCGCACGTTTTATGGATGGTCGGAGTCTTATAATACAAATTCGAATGTTACTACAATGCTCAGACCCGACAAAACAGCATTGCATAAGGGGTAAGCATATAAACATAAAATATATACACCACATCAACACGGACATTACGGTCCGTGACAGAGCTCCCTCTTTTGTTACGAATGAAACTCTATAATTTTCATTCTTAAAATAAAAAACCTTCCTGCGATTTAGAACACACATAGTCTTTCCACCAATTGAAACATTTTTACCCGCACTATCGAGCTCACTTGAACTGAAGTTAGGTGTACAATAAAGTTCAACAAAATAGTTCTTGCCCAAAATAGTCAACAAAATATTTATGTCAGCCATTACCACCAGCTGCTCATTACGGCAGCCGATGGTAAATCCAGCAATTAGTGCAAATAAAAATGAACACATTATACAAAAAAAGCCAACCCGAAATTCTTTAACTTCAAAGAAAATTTTCGACAAAATCTTAATGCAGCGGTTTCAAAACGGGGGTTCATGACCCACTAAAAGGGGGCTACAGAGCGGTTGGAGGGGGCCACAATGCTGGACGCAAAACACATTTTAAATTTCCCTTCACAATAAAACTCCCTGTTCTTCTATTTCAGGATGTTTTCAATTTATTGAGCATGAATTTTTCGGGGGGGAATACAGAGATCCAGAACCAACGTAAGTAACCAAATCGGTGCATGGCGAACATCGCATTCAAGATGTCCGATGCCTACAGGCGAAAGCTTTCTTGCATTTTTTTGAAGTAGTTGCGATGCGTTTAACGAATCATCAGTCAGTCAAGCACCTATTTGCGATTTACAGTGTCCATTTTTATAGAAAAGTGACCTAAGAACTTAATTCGTGTTAGACAAATTTGCGGAATATTTGATAAATCATGCAATCAAACACCGAACTTCGAATTCTATGATAACAAACGAATAGCATCTCAAATTATAATCTTATAATAAAAGGGATGGTAACTTAAATTGCGTACATTTTTATTAGAGTACAAGAGCAAAAACCTCGATAAAAAAATATCTACTTTTCTGATGTTTGGAAAAAGATAACCTAAGCAAATTAATCTAATTTACAATAAGCGTAAGGATCACTGACGAAGGGAGTAGAGATTGTGACTTGCAATATGAGTTCGCCGTAAATCTGTAAGTTGATGTAAAAGCACAAGCAAAGAAAAGTATATATTGTCCTGACTATCAAGCTTTGGATCCAAACTAAATGGATAAATTGGAACTAAAATTGAAAATGGTCCATATACTGTAAAAACAAAATGCAGTCAGGAAGTAGTGTTTTGATTACCGAACGAGTTTCATGTTTTTGTATTAGCGTATGTCAGCGTATCGCAAATTATGCCTATTGGTTGCCTATCGTAATCTTGATGAAATTTGTACTTTGATATAGCCATAAAAGATGTTCTCTTGTAAGTCTTACCATATAGAAATTCATGTAGATTATAAAAAACAGTACTCGAAACTTCAGATACGTTTTATTTATTTAAAAATATTTATCATAGAAATAAATTAATTTCAATAAAGGAAAATAGACAGCAAATATAAATATAACAAGAACAAAAACATTTTAATATTACAGTTATATGTCGTTCAGAACTTATCACATCGGAACAGTGCTCATGAAATAAAGTATAAATGAATGTAGACTCATAAATTCAATTGAAAAAATATGAAGTGTCACAGAAATTAGATTCCTGGAAGTTTGAACGTAAGTGCCCTTAATATTCTTCTTCAAATGGGTTACCGCAAAACAGATCACTTTGATACTTGCAATATTTTCTCAGTAGTTTCTAAAATATGTAAAACAAAACTTCATTATATATTTGATATACTGAATAACCCTAGTCCATTTTCAGTTTTAATAGCATGCGCGATTTCCAGTTATAGTTTAAAAAGACTATTCTAGATACGACAAGCAATTTTTACAAACAAGGATTGATATTTATTCACTTACGTAGTGTCTGGTTGGTATGCATATCCCAGGCATGATGTTCACTTTCGATTTTCTCATCATTGACACACAGAATGGCTTCTCTGCGCAAATCAATTTCTTTGTGTGATCGCATTTTCCAAGTGCATTAAACGGTCCGCCGCATGTCTGCCACATTTGTTTGTAACAAACATCGCAACAACTAAAAATGTTTAATATTGAAATATAACTATAATCACATATGATAAAACTTTTAAAATTATTTAATATTTTGAGCAATACTTGTTACTTGTTTAATTCATCTGTGAAAAGTTCACATCAATACCACGTTTAGACACGAAGTTGTAATCCAAAGTATCGATTGATTATTTCAGTTTTAAATGCTATAAAAGTTTATTTTCGTTGGAATCGATACAACATGGATGGTCAGTATTGATATCGATGAATTACGTCAAGTTTGCCACACTCAACAATTTGTTAGTTTAGCGTGTACGAAGAATATGCTGTCAAATTGTTCCAAATTTCATGCATTTATGGTTTTTCATGGTGCGCTTTTAATTGTCGAAAGGCTTGTTAAAAGACCGAAGTAAGTAAACCAAAAACTCGTAACACGCAATAGTTTCAACAGAAAAAGCAACTGAATTTGTTATTTGTAGAATGATATTTGCTTTTGTTGAGTAGTAATATTGTACTCACCCGCACATATCTTTTACAACTCTGACACCCGGCGGACATTTTGGTTTTGGACAATTCTTTCCTCCGTTTGGACAAAAGCAATTCAAAGCATGCAAAGTTCCAATAAAAAACATTGATAGAATGATAATGACACGCATAGTTTTAGTACTAACGATATTTAAAGATGTTCTAACTTGCTGTATGGCTGAATCTTCTTCTAACATAACTCCATTGCAAATTAGTATGTATATATACTATAATATTTCACTTAGGAGAAATTTTTGCAAACGTGGCATCATATGACAATTCAAACCAATCACTAGAAATGTTACAATGTATTGATCTTTTTCTACTTATAAATTTCCAAAAATACGATTTACTCTGTTTAATGAAGTTCAACTTGTTCCAACAAATAGATCGTGCACGTGAGTGGCGTCGATGGCGTATATATATATAGGTCAATAAGACAGATATTGAAACTGAATAATCTATTTGAGAAATGAACCATAAAAACCGAGAGTTGAAAAATTCCACAAATTCACTATGAAAGCTATTTAAAAAAACTACAACTATAAATAGGCGGAAGAAGTGTGCCAACATGGTATTTCTAAACGCGAATTTTCATGTTCTTCTCGATATAAAGTCAGTGATAATAATTCAATATAAAAGTATTACTAATAATTATTGCGTTTTTAGAATTGATAATACAATTTAGAAAATTATATATAATTAGAAATATACTGGAAAGCACCCCAGAAGACTTTGTTTCATTGGGTCGTATTCCGTTATTCTAGAAGACAATCCTACTTTTCAGTCACATCGTGATGTGAAATTATTCGCAAGAATATAAATAATATAATGAAGTGATGAAATGTAATACTGAATCAGGTGAATTCTCGCCGATATGGTTGAATTCTTGAATTTGATGTTTTATAAATAGCCAAAATGTTATTATATATTATTGCTATATATATCGCTAAAATTTCATTATATATTTTTAGCCTTAGGAAATTAGGAATTATCATTTGTCAAGTTTTATTTGCCCTTAACACTAAATTTAAAGATGAGGGAAGAGACACCGCAAAATAGCTTTGTCGGAACTTACGATGATTTGAATATTGTTTCGGAAACAGATTCCTGTTACTTGTATCATTTGAATAATTTGCATGTTTTTATTTAAACCACTTTGACCAATTTCTACAGACCACACACTACGGGAGAACGTTATGCTAGTGAGATGGATGAGCCGGAATAATATCGGGATCATTTTTAGTCTCCTCGTTTGGTTTTGTCAGTGCGGTTTCTCTTGATATTTAGAAGCGCGATCACGCACTTTACAAGAATAGGCTGAAGGAAATTTTAAACCGATCCCAAAAGTAAGAGTATTTAATTTGATTTTGTAACCAGAAAGATCGATACGAAGCACTCAAATTTGTTTTCAAAGAATAGCACCAATGCTTTTTTTCTTAAAGTGTCTGGAAATATGCAACATTTCCAGATGCATATTAGTTAACTGCCATTAAAGTCTGGACTTCATCGCTACGCTATAAAAACGTTTTATTACGCAGCAAACACAACGGTTTCAAAACAGTATTTGCTGCTGGAAAAAAACATGTAGGAGATATCTGCTACGATATCGCCTACATTTCGCTTCGGCAAACTCATTGTGGTGCTTTATATTTATTATAATGTTTTAATCTATATCAGTTAAATAATTTTCTTAGGTTAATGTCTTCGATATTATCAACATACGCAACAAAAATAGTAAACCGGCGGTAAATAATGTCAGCCACAACATGACGTTGTATCAGGCTAGAGCAGACATGGGCAAAGTACGACCCACGGGCCAAATCCTGCCCGTTGGGTTATTCAATCTGGCCCGCCTGATGCTGCTACAACCAAACTGAAATCACATTTTGATCTTTAGCTCATTGGTTCTCAAACTGGGGTCCGCGGTCGCTTAGGGATCCGCGAAGCGATTTTAGGGGGACCGCGAGACAGCATTAACCTCGGCACAGAAGCACTTTGATTTGAAGTTAAATTTTGGTGTCATGCTTTTAGAGTGTTTCTCCAGAGCACGGCACGCTCTAACCGAAGACAAACTTTTGTGAACGTTGTCCAAAATACCGGCAATCAGAGCGTAATGTTTATGGAAGGTGTGTGCGTATGATTGTAAATTTTTTCGAGGTAATCTAAAAATGCCCCTCATCAGAAAAAAATAAATTTAGATATAACGATTCATATGTAAAATTTGATTTTGCTGTGATAATTGCTGGAGGAATTCCATTTACAATAACTTACGAATGTGAGGCAGCTTTGTCTACGTTACTAGCTATTAAAACTAAATGTTGAAACGTGAGACATGATTTGAGAGTTGAGTTATCCAAAACAGAACCCAAGGTAGAAGAACTAGTTGAAGACAAGCAGGCTCATTGAACCGTTTCAATGTCATTCAATAGATGAATGCTTGATATAACGCGTTGCTATTTGCTTTCATTTTTTGGTGGACCGAGAGTCATCAGAAAAATTGCAAGGGGACCGTCATGCATAATTTTTTAAAAAGTTTGAGAACCACTGTAATTTAGCTTAAAATAGCTCAAGGAATTTGTTGAGATTGCGGTTAGTTTTGACACGAGGCATATTGTTTTCCAACTTTGCTTTGTAATACTGTAAATATTATTCATAAAATGTAACTTCTTACGTCATACTTTTATGGCCGCCAGTCTAAGTGGGCAAAATTTTTGGCCTCTGGTTTAAAAACCGTGCCCACCCCTGGGCTAGAGCTCGACCTTTGCCAATGTATGTATTCGTTATTTAGCCTAGGTATTCAATGACGCAAGAACGAAAAATAAACCAGTTGGTAGAAACGCGGAGACATTGTATAAGGGTATTGTAGTTAAACTAGCGCTTCCAAGCACCTTGGTAACCTGACCGCGAAATGGAGCTGTAACTAAACACAGAACAACGAGACATGCAGGATAGTATAGCGGCTATTTTGGATGAAGTGTCAATAAACGTAATCCGTGTCCTAGAGTCTAGACCAGTGGTTCTCAACCTGTGGTACGCGTACCACTATTGGTACGCGGGAGCTTTTCGAGTGGTACGCGAGCAGATTTGAATTATTGCAACAATTAACCTTTCAGTTAGCTAAAATATGGCGGCAACGCTTTATCTTACTTACTGTATGTATTCTCTGAACAGCATTTATGGATGTTTCCCCAAGCATCAGTTTCCTTGTTTGTTTTTTCGTAACTATAACCAATCAGCAATAAGTCAATAATGACGCAACACGTAACAATTACAATTTCTGCACTCAGCCGCTCAGACACTTCTGTCGCTCAAACAGATATTCAAGGATGGTTGCAAACATTGCCTCATTTTTGTAGTTTTGAGTGATATTTGTCAGTTTTCAGTTGTGTTTCAAGAAAATAATAGTGAATTAATTAGCTTTAATTGGCATTATGTCTTGCGCGGAGCTTTACTTTGATTGCAGTGATCGAAATTGAATCTCGCAAATGCTGCGAAGGCCAAACTTTGCTATATCAGTACCTGCAAACGACACATTATTGATTAATTTTAATAAAAATTATGGCTTCAAACACGTAAACCAGTTTATATGCGCCAACATACCAAAACACTCTCAGAATAAGCATAAAGTTTGCAATAGTAAAGTATAAGAGTAATTTTTCCGGGGTTAATGGTCGGGGTAACGTCCATAGCGCTGGTGCGCTATCGGTCCTTGTCTTTAGAGATCGCTATTGCCCACCTTAAAGGAAGCGATATGGGCATGTTTTTGTTCGTTTTGCGTGTTACGCCACAAAGGATGTAGTGCCACGTTTTAAAATACACACATAGCATGTTTCTTGTTTTTTTTTTCCCACGCCAAAAAGGAGCTTTGTCGGTGGTACGCGGCCATAGTAAAAAACAGTAAAGTGGTACGCGGTCAGTAAAAGGTTGAGAACCACTGGTCTAGACCAGAATAGGCCGAACCTTTTTCAATGAAATGGGTCAATAATTATTATTTTTATCTTGGAACATAAGAGAGTGGGTCACAATGTGAGAGTGTTAATCAATGTTTGTATCTATAAGAAACTTCTCAAACAAATCTTACAAGCTTATGTTGGTGTAGTTTTGGGCTTACTTATGCAGCACTTCCATCAGGGACTTTTTATGGCACCCGATTTTATGAAATTAGAGTAAAAAAACACGCATATGAATTACCAAAAACGTTTTGGATTAAGCGGTAAATTATTTTACGGTTCCAAAAACTTTGGAAGGTTATACCAAATTCCTAATCAAACAAGATTAAACCAAAACATAAAACTGAAGTAACTTAAAATGACACAGAAAACCACATGCCTTGCGATTACCCGATTTGATATCAGCGCATCTAATCGCCGAGTGACACGGCCATCTCCTTATATATATATATATATCCTTTAAAGATCGATAAATATATATATATATCAAATAAATATCGAGTTTTAACTATTTTGATACAAATATTATTTATGAATGTTGGGACACTCCTCACTTCCACATCGTTATTTTCATTGTAATGATGGACAGTTTTATTGTTCTTGTTCCTGAAACTAGAAATTACTGTGATTAGGCTTACAGTTGGACTATTCCCCGCATTCTTAATATTTTATTATTTTTGTTTTAAGCGTTTTAGCAAGATTTCCAGTGTTTTTAGATGGTTTTTCACTGTTTTTTAGCGTTTCAGCATAGTTTCTAGTGTTTTTAGACGGTTTTTCACTGTTTTTAAGCGTTTTAGCAAGGTTTCTGGTGTTTTTTGACGATTTTTCACTGTTTTAAGCGTTTAAGCAAGGTTTCTAGTTTTTTTTTAGACGGTTTTTCACTGTTTTAGCAAGGTTTCTATTGTTTTAGGACGGGTTTTCAATGTTTCAGCAAGATTTCTAGTGTTTTCAGACGGGTTTTCACTGTTTTTAGGCGTTTTAGCATGGTTTCTAGTGTTTTTAGACGATTTTTCACTGTCTTTAAGCGCTTTAGCAAGGTTTCTAGTGTTTTTAGACGGTTTTTCACTGTTTTAAAGCGTTTTAGAAGGTTTCTAGTGCTTTTAAACGGTTTTTTCGCTGTTTTTAAGCGTTTTAGCAAGGTTTCTAGTGTTTTCAGACGGTTTTGCACTGTTTTTAAGCGTTATAGCAAGATTTCTAGTGTTTTTAGACGGGTTTTCACGGTCTTTAAGCGTTTTAGCAAGGTT